ACAGACAACTAGATGTATATGACATCTGTGTGATTAAAATTATTGATAATGTAAAGAGTATCTGGATATATTCGTATATAACAATACTCTATATAATATCATGGTTGGAATGTTTGCTCTTTAACACTTGATTATTTTACGTTTGCGTTCAAAATCGCCTCTACTTGGTTTACAGATCATCACTTTGTCCTGTATGTTTTTGTATTTATATATTTTTCGTGAATTTAACCAGAAAAAGGTGTTTTGTTAGCGCATATAGTTTTTTTGTATTTTTCTTATAAAGGCCTATGGGATGTCAATAAAAATGTCCTAGACCAAGTGTCTAGGAACGAAAGAACGTATAATTGACGCGTCAATTACTGAGGCCTACTGTTTGATAGCAATGAATAGTATGTATATAGGTGCACCTAAGTATATGTACGGTATGTGTGAGTATATTTATGTGTACAGTATTTTTGTTTTTATCAACGTGACTAATCTATCTAAATTTCTAATTTTCTGCATATTTTTTTATCTCTTCAAGAATGTACTGGATTATATCAACAATAATTATATGTAAGTCTGACTTTATTAAATCATCGATTTTTAATACATTTCAAGGAGAGGATGGATGGAGCGATGTTAATTATTTTTACTCAATTTTACTTCTAGTAATTTGGGAATGAGTTAAATTAACTGAACTACATCAGCATGTACATCTGTATTAACATATTGTGATAGGAAGCTATAACTATATAATTATAATTATAGTTATAGAGGTATTTATTAATTTTGTTGTAGATCATTTCAAGGTCGGAGTGTCTGATCCACAGGAAGGAGGTAAGCCATGAATAGTTATTCTACCAATGAAGGTTAAAACCAATTGTAAATAAACCCATATTTACGGTGAATAGCTTAGGCCTATAGAATTGTACTTCCTTATTTTAATGTGAATAATAATTTTGCCATGCAAATCTTCAAACAATGATAATGATAATAATAATAGTAATAATAATGATGATGTTGATGATTTCGATAGGTCTATATGCATTTGCTAAATCGCGAATAAATATAACAAATACATTGTAATGCTAAGAAAACAATGGATAAACTCCTTAAAAGACTAGAATAGTAACTGTCATCTTTTTTGTTACCATTTTCCGTTCAGATATAGTTCTTCTAGGTGGTAATACCGCTAACCAAGGCAGGATTGAACTCTACCACAACGGTAGCTACGGTAATATATGCGGGAAAAAATGGAACTTCGACGATTGTTCAGTTGTTTGTCGGTCGTTAAATTACAGGTTATGTTACAATCATCACCGATACAGCGAATACGGGAAGGGTAACGGTCCCCTGTTGATGTATAATGTTGAATGCACAGGATACGAAAGCACGTTGAGTGACTGTACACATAGTGGATGGGGGAACATACACGAAGATTGCTATATTCGAGTTCAAATAGCTAGCGTGGATTGCAGGGATACTGTTCTAGGTATTGTCGGGAATTATAACGCATGTCATTTAAATCGTTTTTACATACAATATAAAAGCTGATAAAAAAGCAGCTAATAAAATTCAAAAATATGACGATATTTTTGATAAAGATCATGTCAGGCAATACTTTATTAGAACTAGGCCGTCAACCGTATGAAGTTGTAAACAACAAGGTCATGAATAAAAACAAATGTACAAACGATAAACGGAATGACAATGAGCACGCGTGCTGAAAAGTGTCGGCTGGTTTCTCGGACATAGCTTGCATTACAGTCAGAGCACAAACAAATTTATATACAACACGTCAGCGGAGAACGGCGGGGAGAGAATCTTTCACTTAAAACAATTTTTATTTTGCAGCAGTAGCTGTAGTAATAGTAGCAGTAAGTAGTAGTGATAAGTAAAGAGTATAGCAGACTATCAAAATTATATAGCCTTTCATTTTGTTTTTAATATGCACCATAAATCCTTTCAGATATACGCTTAATAAATGGACAACATCCGAACGAAGGGCGGGTGGAAATGTTCGACGGGGGAAGATGGGGAACAGTCTGTGACTACGGATGGAGCATTGATGATGCAATGGTTGCGTGCCGCCAAATTGGATACGCATCTGCTGTTGAAGCATTTTCTGGATCTAAATTTGGCTCTGATAATTCGCTTGTGTATGTTTCCTATATGAATTGCTTGGGCTCTGAGGATACACTAAGTGATTGCTTACATAACGGGATTGGTAGATCGGGTTCCTGTGATGCAACCACAACTGCCGGTGTTCGTTGTTCGGACGAACTTATTGGTAAGCTGGGGTTTGAAACTACTTTATTAAACCACATTGAATAGGTAAATTTATAATTAAAAAAAGAAGATTTCATTCATTTAATTATTTATTTACCCAGCCAATGAAATGCAAAATATGCCACTGACGTTAGGAGAAGATTATTGAGAAGATTGATTGAAAATGACAATATCAGACTTAAATTTAAATACAATTTTCTTTTTTTTCTCCATTACTTTTTTTTTATCTTTAAATATTTATGGGACGGAGGGAGGCTGGCCCCTTGTTTATGTATGCTTGATACGATTATGGCATCTCCACTTATTTATCTGTTCGCTTATATAAAATTTATACCGTATATAATACAGTAATAAAATGTAAACAGATAAATCTTTTTAAGCCTAAACATTTTAAATGAATAAAAACTAATAAGAAACAGTGCTATATTTGTATATATATCATATAACTGTATTACGTATATCATTTCTATAGATTCTAGTGTATCTGATGGCGTGGTGGAAATGATTAATGACGTAACTGCTCAGCAATTCCCTGAATTAGAAAACCTTGCAGTTGACGAATTTAAATATTTTTCGACAGTGGGCGAGGGTAGTGATCAAACCATAGGTGTGCGTTTTTGTTTTATAAATTTCTACAAACGATTTATAACAATGGGTTTTAAATTTACAAAATTAGCGTACTTTGAATTACTTTAATTAATTCAAAATGCATTTGTACTTTACATTATTAATTTTTTTAGAGGGGGTGATTATCAAGTCATCTGGCCAAACAATGGACCTGACTCCAGTAACAAACAATCAGAACGGAATAGCGTTTGCAGTAGAAGTAAACACGAACGGTAAATATAATTCTGTTATGATTGCAATATAAAGCCCTGGGCATGTTTTAATAAAAACATGGTGTAATTAATGCATCGATTAATTAAGATTTAAAGCATGTTCTTTGACATTATGCTTTAGCTTCATATATAAATCATTGGTCCATTGGCATATAACGTAAAAAAGTGATGAGTGATGTACCTTGATGCTAATCTCAATTGTTGACTTATTTGTTTCGTTAGTTTAATTCATCATATTCATCCAATTATCTTAAGCCCAGAGACGGCGATCAAATCGCTTAGATTATTCCGATTCCTATATTGTTTCATTTGGACGCACTCTGTCCTTTAGATCATCATTTTATCTCTCCGTTATTTTACTCTGGAATAGATTATCACAATCAGAGGTCAACTTGAAAAAACAGTATTCACATTTAAACAAACTTTAATTGAATATCTTAAAAGTTAAACCCTTTACTGTCTTTATGCATTTTTTTCTTTATTTACTTTATGTATGTAAGTTAAGTTTACTTAAGGGGGAGTTATAAGACAATAGTCTTGACGAATATGTGGCTACCCTCCCCAGGTGGCCTATTGTATACCGAATTTTCATAAATAAAAAAATATATAATTTGTCATAATATCTTGTTTACATGCAGATACAATTGGAATAATCGTGGCTATATTCAGCTCTGAAAGTGTATCACTACCGTAAGTATAATCCAATCGTAGGCTACCATCAATCAGTACGATAATGAAAATGTACAAAATGCTGTTTTACTTTATATCTTGCATTTTATATTGTGCTATCAAGTAAAATTAGTATTAGGTATTAATTAATTATTATATCAATAAACGGGTTGGGGGGAGCATTGTGGACGACTAATGGTGTTTGGGTTCCCACGCTCTCCTGGCCATTTCATCCATAGTACTCATGTGTACAAAATAAAACTAGGACTATATTGATAAGAATGTATTTTTTTTAAATAAAAAATTCAAATATCTTCTTTTTTTTTCTGATTTGGAAGCAGCCTTGCGAACTCGTATATTGCAAGTGACCTGGTCGCTCTCAACGTTTACGATGCTGAAGGAAATCATACACGGAAGGCGAAGCCATATATTGTTTTTCCTTCTTTACAGGTAATTAAATTAATATAATTAATGAAATAATCAATAGACTGCGGTAGAATAAATAATAGAAATCCATCTGAATCTTCTGAATTTGTAGTCAACAAGTCAGCATTTTATTTGTGACGAAAACTTGTGACATGCCTAAATATGGTCATGATAGACATCACATCATGACCATATATAGGCACATCATGACTATATATGGGCACATCATGACCATATATAGGCACATCATGACTATATATTGTGTGCATGGGCTTAGGTCAAGTTTTGTTTTTTGTAAAAGAAATGTTAATTTCATATAATTTTTATAATAACGATAGAACGAAATACATTACGGTATAAATATGTTTATTGTCATTTTTTTCGTTTAGGTAAAAGAATCAATAGATCATAAAACCATGGAACCAGTCTGCGCTTTCATCGATGAAGCCAAATCCCCTATGTAAGCTTGTTATGTAGGCTATTTAATATACGTCCAATGTTTAATACATTCTTTGCTGTTTTTTTTTTTATTAGGCTGCTTTGTCAACAAATCAGGTAAACCCGTTCATTTGTTTCGATGTCAGAGGAACCCCTATTCGTTCAAAAAAGCCTTCTAACAGTCTAATAGTGGCGTAGGAAACTTGAATTGGGGAGCTGATGGTGACGCGCAAGCGGACTGGGTTGGAGTGGCTTTGGACATTTTGAATGGGGGAGGGAGATGGGCTGGTTTTTTTTTGTGCGAAAAATGTGTACCGGTAGGCCTATCCCTTATGAATTTGGTTCCTGACCGAATTCTATGCTTTCGGTGTCCGAATTCACAGTGGATTTATGCCTGTGTTCATTTATAGGACTACATTATGCCTATATCTATAAAATATTTATTTTAATAATTGAGTTTTGTAAAATTCTATTTCCTTGTAGTGAATGGTCGGACGAAGGTTGTGTAACGACATCAAGCGACTCTCTTACCACGGGTGTAATTTGTTCGTGTCAACACTTAACGTCATTTGCAATCCTTATGCAGACTAGGCCTAATACGGTAGGTGTAACGTATCTACACATATGTGTTTTAATCAACCATTCACATAGATGATGATCATCGATGATCGCTATGGCCAGTCTCTATAAATCTATTTGGACAACATTTATGGCTTTATCTAATTGTTATTGTAACCGTGCATTATTATGATTTCACATTTTTTGTGCTTGAATAAGTTATGTAATAATATTGTATAGGCCCACACACTATAACACTAGGTATTGTCATAGAGAACCTTCCCACAAAGTTTATTGTCCCCAGTAGAAAACTCATAAAAACCAAGCAAATTTAATTAAGAGTCAAAATGGCAATATATCACTGGTGGATCCATGAATTCAAAATAGAGAGGGTGCGGGGGCTAGGAAGGGTTGGGGCTGAGTTAAGAAAATTTATGCTTATGGCACCACCTTTAGATGGCCGAAAATGGCACTCTCAGACCTAACTTTTCTTTTTTCTCCATTTTAAAAATATTTTTTTTAATTTTAAGGGTGGGGGCGGTTCGTGCGGCTTTCCCTTGAATCCGCCCATCTTATGATATTTTGAGTTATCTGTGCTCAAGATGTATTTAGATAAGGCCTATTAGAAATTATATCAGGAATAATTTTTCAAACAAGATATTATATGGGATGTCTTATTATTACATATAATATCAATATGGTATTTCAGGACATAAAGATAGAGGACAAGGATGCAATGTTGGGGTTAGATGTCATTACGTTCACAGGATTGTCAATATCAAGCGTGTTCTTACTATTTACCATCTGTATAATATGCTCGTTCAGGTTTGTGAATTAAATTTAGTGAAAGACTAGAGGTCAGTAAAATTGTTTTGCTTCAATCTATTGTTCAAAGCTAACATATGTATTCCTTTTGAATAAGAATTCGAATGCTGCAATTGATTTTTATTCATTTTGATGTCTCGTGATATTTATTTGAGTTCCATTTGTTTAAAGTGGAGCGTTGATTCGAATAAGTACCTTAATAACATTTGAAAAGATTTTAAACTAAAATGTTGCATGTTTATGTAATAAATATTATTATTTTGTAGCGATTTGAGGAAGTCACGACGTTATAAAATGTTGGGAAATCTTGTAATCTCCTTGCTCTTTACCAACTTTACTTTTTGTTCGCTCGCTTTCAATATTGAAAACAAGGTGGGTTTGTTTCTTATTAAATGCCTCCCTCTTTATTTGAAGAGAGACTTGTATTTATGACAGCACTATATGAAATGTACGAAAAATGCAGGCGTGATCATTTTGACAAGGAATATGTGGTAGGCCCTATTACAAACCACTGACATTGGATTTTATCTAATTTTGTTTAATAATCATGCAACATAAAAATATTGAAAATCATTCCTAATTTACAATAATATAACTGAAAAATCGCGGAATAAAAGCAGCATAGTTACCAACCGTCTCGCATCGTGCGGGACAGTCCCGCATTTTAAATTGATTTTCGATTAAAAACACGCATTTTGTAGAAACACATTCGTGATCATAAATTTGTCACGCATTTAGCACAAGTCTATGCATGATAACGAATTATCATCAGGGGAAAATGTTTTTAAAATTATAAGAAATTGTTAACAATTTAAAAACGGTCATGAAGTAACTTGAGTTATTAGAAAGCTTTCGATTTTGAGAATCAATTTACCCAGAAAATTTTCTTTTTTTTTCGACCAAAATTACTCAGCCAACCACGCACTTCTAATCTAGGAGGCGCGTCCGGTTTTGCGCGTTCATTGTCACAACCAACCGTTGATTATGTGACTCAAACCCGACCGTCACCGTGGCTTCGACGGTGGTCCTGGCGGCCACTCCCCCCCCCCCTCCCACACCACCCAGACAACTGGTGTAGTCATCACGCATTTCAAATCTCTCAGGTTGGTAACTATGCAGGAGGAAGATAGATTGAAATATAAAACAAAAACCCACCAAAAACGTATAAGTATTTAATAATTACAAATTTATATAAATTTATAAGTAAAACAAAAATTGTTACCTACGTGCTGTACGTCTACAATCAAGTTTGTATTATATATCTCAGCATTGATGTCTCAGGCAAGCTTTACAACTGCGCACTCAACAAAATCGTTTCAAAGTTTTAACGAAAGTTTTGTGGAATAATATTTGTTTCAGATCGCTTGTTCTCTTGCTGCTGCTTGTCTCCATTACTGCCTCTTGGCGGCGTTTTCTTGGATGACCATCTTGTCCACTGACATGTACCTGTGCATCCAACATGCATTTCTTGATCCCGAGAAAAGATTTTTATTCTTTCAAATATTAGGATGGATGTTCCCTCTATTATTCGTCACTATCACGGTTGCTGTTACAAGGGAGAACTACGCATCCGAGAGGTAATTCATAATATGGAAAAGCAAGAACCAGCAACCATGATAAAAGTTAAATTTACGAAAATTTGAAGGTTATTGTTACGTTATATCAGAAAATAACGTTAATACAATGTTGCAGCAAGTTGCATTTATTTGAAGATACGTTATGAATACGTATGGTTCTACAAAAAATAACGTAAAAGTCAGTAAATGGTTATTTACAAACTGTTATGAGCTTTTCAAATTTACAAAGTAGCAAACTAAGTCTTTATCTTCATTGCGTTTTTATTACATTATGCTGATTTTGCTGATTGATATTGTAATAAATAATATAGACCTAAATAGAACGCACAGAAGTTAAAAGCTTATTCCTTATTGTTAGTTTATCTTACTAAGTTCGTACTTAGTTTACCGATATATTTGTATCTTTTAGATGCTGGTTGAACATTAGCAACGGAGTGACATGGACATTCATAGGCCCAGTTATGTTTACAATTTTGGTAAGATAAACCATACGTTAAATTATTATAAGTTTAAAGGCTATTGATAATAATAATCATATGGTTTTTATTAAATTTACTAATAGCTATAACGATAATGTTGTGTGAATTCAAGTCTTTTTGTCGGTTTTAGGTCGTTACGATTCAACTCAGCATAGTTGGGTACGTGGCATATACAAAATCGCAAACGCCTCACCAAAACGATGATGAGAAAAATAAACTGAAGCAGATCAAGTAAGTGTGTCAATCAAAAAGGATCAATTGACCAAATAATCCAATGTGAGACTATATATATACTGTCTCTTATACACATCTAGATGTGTATAAGAGACAGNNTAGCCTATATATATATATATATATATATATATATATATATATATATATTCAGAGCCGAGCATCTGATGATTGAGGATGTGCCCTCATGAAACAGTCTGAAGTGCAAAATAAAATGTAGTGTTTGTAACCTAATTGTATTTGATTACTTATATATACAGGTTTTTAGTTCTTTTTTTTTTATGACAGACGGTAATGTTAATGTAGAATATTTGTACAGCGCCTTAATCGTCTTAATGCGCCACGAATCATATTAAAACAGAAACAAAAATTCAATAATAAAAATTAAACAAAAATCTAAATAGCAGGACGGCTATATTTCTCTTATCTGGTTCTATAAAGAAAAACTAACACGTTTCTAATAAGCCTGTATCCAAGGTCAATCGATATAAACATATAATGTGTGTATCTGGTATATGGATGTTTATGTTGATTGATCTAAATATGGGCACATGCAGTTCAGAATACGAAATGGCTTATTGGAGAAATGTTTATTTCATGTTATCTAACAGCTAATATTTGAAATTATATTTTAAATATATGATTTAATTTTATGTGTTTTTACATTCCTAGAACGTTACTGTTTAGAATTCTTCTTTTGACTCCGGTTGTTGGACTAACGTGGATCTTTGGTATTCTGAGCATCTTGCATAGTACCTTCATTTTGCAGTATCTGTTTGTCATTTCAACGTCTATGCAAGGCTTCTTGATCTGGTTCACACAGTGTTTTCTTAGCAAGGAGGTACGTTGTTATGCTACCCCGTACTAAATATTAAAATGTCATATATGTACAATGAGCATTATAATAACGTTAATTTCTTCTTCTCTCGTATGCACTGTAAATCATATCACTCTTCCACAATGTGTTTCATTTGAATATCCGGTCACAGCTCTGCAATTACAGGCATGTGTTGGTTTTATATTCCATTTGTGCAGCATTGTCCTGTGGGGACAAATCTATAGTAACTGGAGTATAGTCTATTTAGTCTGCAATCTACTCGAGAGGTGTAGTGCAGACGAGGCAGTGATGTATCTAGGACTCTTAAAATGTGTGTGTGTGGCGGGGTGGGGGGTTGCTGGTCTCCAGAAGGTGGAGTGGGATGGGACTGGATGATTAAGTGAAGGGGCACTAGCTCTCAAATTAAGGTACTACTTGAGCTTCGGAGGTGGGGGTAGGAGTGGGGGTGCGACTGGGAAAGGCGAGTCCTCCCTCGTCCCCTTGATACGCTACTGTCCAGGCAAGATCTTTGATAATCACAGGGTCCATTTCGTATATGAGATCTGTTCTGTAGTAGTCTTGCGAAATCCTCTCTTGTTAATAATCATATTCTACCGGTATCTAATTTGTAGTTTTCATCTTCCTTAGGTTAACACGGCCTGGAATAAATTCAAAATGCATCACATGTCTAATAGCGTCGACGCTACCATCGAAACGGTTAGCTGAAAATAGCAGTAATCCCACGAACTTTCATGGTGATGGTCAAACGTCATGGACGCCGCTTGACGACTGATTGTGGCCGCAATAGGCCCACAGAAAAAGAAATATTTTTTTTTATTTGTTGCTCTTTGATGTTTCAAATGGTATGTGCAATTATTTTGGAGTAGAGTTGGCCTGGCAAATCATATAAACTCTCTGAGAATTTGTACGTGTACTTACTGTCTGCTGTAATATAAAAATAAAATTCAAATTCAATAAGGATTTATGATAATTAAGCTTTCTTGAAAAGACATGAAATTGCGTCGGGGACAGCTACCTTAAGCTCCGTTTCCATACAATCGCTCACCCTTTCGCGACAGTCGCCGACAGTTGTCGAGAAGGTTGAACCTGGTTCAACTTTGCCGATTGCGTTGCAGACAAATCGGGGTGCCTTCCCGATTGCGTCAGGGCAGCTAGCAATGTACCCTGATTCGTCTGCAACGCAATCGGCAAAGTTGGACCTGGTTCAACCTTCCCGACAACTGTCGGTCACTGTCGCTGATAGGGTGAGCGATTTTATTAAAACCGAGCTATACTCAGTGCAAGGATTGCAGTGAAAAAGCGGTAGCGACTGTGTAGCGATTTATACGCAAACCAAGCTTGAAGCATCATGAGTATATTTCCCGCACGATTAAATTCGTAACGGTACTAAGTTTGATCTACAGGATTAATAGAAAAAGCCTTTTTAATGGAGAAAGCGTACCTGTCGTTAGCCATAGTAGCCTAGGTCAATACATAACTCCGGCTATATAAAATTGATTATAAGATTGAAAAATATAAATCTTATTATTGTAGTTGTGACACAGTGTCCACATTTTAATTATTGTTTATTTTTTAACATTATTATATATATTGTTTATATTTAAATTTAATTTATTGTTTAAGTATGAATTACTACGTCCGTATAAAAATTAATCTTATGTATTAGAATTGTATATTTAAATAATAATATAGGCCTAGGTCTACAGTAAACCTAGTGTGTAGTGTATAAAATTACGAATTTAAAAAAAAAACGCAAAACGTGAAATGATAAAGGAAGAAGGTAAAATAGCAGTTACACGATTATCAGCTGGTAATTATGAATTTACTAACATCTTTGTAAATTACTAAATTATAGCATGTAAATTGATCAGTGAAGTTTGCAGACATAAATCTGGTTCAGCAAATGTAACAGGGTTTATATTTATTGGTCTCTGGTGTGACTAGATGAGTATGATGGAATTTATCTTGCTATTAAATATATATATATATATATTTGTAAACCTCACCAAACCTAGTTCTGCTCGTACCTAATACTGTTGAATACACACATTTTAATAGTTTTGTAGTACCGGTACGGTAGCTCTTGTAACATGCAGTTTTTCTTTCCAAGTTTTCCTTAAAAAATAAAAGAAGTTGATACTGTCATTTAGTCAAAAATCTCAATGCATCTAGTATTAGGATAGACACCAAACAACTGCAGCGATTATAACACGTGAAAAAAAAAATAAGCAAAAGATTGTCAAGGTACCTGTAGCCTCAAACGCAGCCGCTGAGCGATCATTCCGGGAGTCTCGCATTGTAACTAGGAATGAGAAACTCAATTAGATTTTCTATTGCGTATAATACTATGCACAAGTAGTTAATAAGTATCGATTTATTATTAATAATTTTACTTTATACTTATTTATTTAATCAAAATAGAGTAGTCCTGTATAACTTGATTGACATATTGCCAATAAACGTAAAGACGAACATATTACAGTATGTTTCTAATTCGTATTGGTTATATCCACGTGGAGTACAGCGTTAATTAAGTGTTTTGATCGACAAAAATATTAGAAAAGATGCTTTTTACTAATTAACACTGAAAATTTATAATGACAACGAAATCAAGTTAGAAATGAAGTATGCATGTTTATCCCATAAAAAAAAAAAAAAAAAAAAAAAAATTTATACTGTCATTTAGTCAAAAATCTCAATGCATCTAGTATTAGGATAGACACCAAACAACTGCAGCGATTATAACACGTGAAAAAAAAATTTAAGCAAAAGATTGTCAAAGTAGGGCGTATTAGGCCAACAAGAATGTTGGTATTAAACTCCTGTAGCCTCAAACGCAGCCGCTGAGCGATCATTCCGGGAGTCTCGCATTGTAACTAGGAATGAGAAACTCAATTAGATTTTCTATTGCGTATAATACTATGCACAAGTAGTTAATAAGTATCGATTTATTATTAATAATTTTACTTTATACTTATTTATTTAATCAAAATAGAGTAGTCTTGTATAACTTGATTGAAATATTGCCAATAAACGTAAAGACGAACATATTACAGTATGTTTCTGATTCGAATTGGTTATATCCACGTGGAGTACAGCGTTAATTAAGTGTTTTGATCGACAAAAATATTAGAAAAGATGCTTTTTACTAATTAATCCTGAAAATTTATAATGACAACGAAATCAAGTTAGAAATGAAGTATGCATGTTTATCCCATAAAAAAAAAAAAAAAAAAAAAAAAAAAAAAAAAAAAAAACACGTATAGTTGCACATTTTTGCCCTTAAGGAGGGCATGGTGACGTGGAGACTATAGATGAAAAAGATTGTCAAAGCAGTTATTTTGTTTTCCACACATTCCGTAATCTTAAGCACAATAATTAGCATTGCATTGTTCCGTGGACATTACATCAATCACTGACCAAGTACCATTCCAACAACAATGCTTTCGCACCTAAAACGAAAACCTTTCATGCGCCCTGAACCTCAAAATTCTGTTCGGTTTACTCCGATCCAACTGCGATGCAACAAGGAGTGTTGAGTAGGCTATATGCGGAGGAATATAGTGAGAACAAAAATGAAGGAGTGCCAACAGTGATCACTCCAATAGAGTGAAAGAAGAGTGTGATTTCATTATATTTTAGAGTGAATTTTACTATTTTTTTTCCATTATTTTGAGAATAATATTCACTCACTGTTTAAAGGTTTACTGGTACGGGCACTGGTCTTGTAACCGACGGTGACACTGGATCATATGGTGGCTATTGACTGCATACAGTTATAACGCTAGACACGTCCCGGTACATTTAATGCTCAAAAAAACAAAAAGTACTCTTGCAATAATTTTTTTTTTTGCATGGCGAAATAATAATAATAAATATATTAACGCTTGCGGTATATCTCGTGGTGCACGGTAAGCATTCACTCATTTAGAAAAAGAGTGAATTTGTTGTGATCAAGGTAGGCAGTATTAATTTTTTTTTTATAGATTTTTTTTTAAATTACTATTCTATCGGAGGCAGATTGTGTTTGTTGTTTATTGAATTGCATCTCAGGCTTGATTGGTTTTCATACACTAGACTTTATAAAGGGATACAAGAGACGATATCAAGCGATTTCTTGAAACATATTATTGACTTTTTATTAAATCAATTATTTATCAATATCGCTTTTTTAGGGCTAACCTGAACGATTAATTCATGTTACGAATTAGTTTGTCCAAATTATATGGCACAAATAAATAATACTAACCATGTTTCTGACTTACGTGCCTCTGCATGCCTGTTTTCAATTAGAAGGCAGAGAGGTATAACAATCATTATTTTTCTAATCTATGTAACAAAGCGTCTACTGGAGTCCAATATAACGATAATATTTTTAATCAAATTTAATATTTAATTAATTTGATTGTTAGAAGGGCGTACTGTATTGTCGTCTTGGATTGAAGATGTGGTACAACTTGTAGATAACATAATTTCTGAACAACGCGACAAATTAGAAGAACTTAAAGATGACGAAATGAAGTATTTAACGGTAGAGGACGAAACAGGTAAATGCGTGGTGCAGAATTGATGGTTCGAATAATATTGCAGTATCCGCTGATGGGGATCGAATTCATCACTACCCACCAAGCGCAAACTCGTTGGTCTAGTGGTATGCTAGTTATCTGGAGGTCGTGGGTTCGACTTCCACCCGTATCACTTGCAAGATTTTTTTTTCGCAAGTATTTGGGAATATACTGAGCATTCCAGTAGGCCTACTTATAATATGTCAGGAAGGGCATAGATCATTTCGTATTATTTCTCCTGACGCGAAAGCATTGCAGTACCTGCTGCGCTATTTGGGGATCGGATTCATCACTTGCCACCAAGCGCAAGCTCGGTGGTCTAGTGGTTAAGATATCATGCTAGTTACGTGGAGGTCATGGGGTCGCTTCCCATCAGAATCACTAACGAGGTTTTTTTTTCGTAAGTATTTGGGAATGTACTGAGCATTCACTACTTATAACACGTCTGGTAGGGCAAACATAATTTCTTAATAATATTTTAACACATTATTATTATTATTATTATATATTAATATTTTTGGAGTTGAGTTGAATAGTGGTTAAGGTGCTTGCCTTCTGATCCCAGGGTGCTGGGTTCAATCCCTGTGACAGCAGGCCTTTTTTCACGACTAAAAACAACTCCACTCCCTAAGCCTCATAAAGAGATTTCGCTGATAAAAGCATCTCACATTATTTCATTTAATTAAAAGGCCCTTCTGAATATCAGCCTACTTTCTATGTCACCCTCTAATAGTTAAAAATATTATATATCGCGTGTCTTCTTTATCTTCGTATTTTATGTCGTGGCTTCTCATTGAACGTGCTTGACAGTATACTGTTCCTAGTATGAATAGTTAATAAAAAAAAAAGTTGGAAAGTTTTAATTTTATTAGATGTTAAGCTGGATTATTGGACGATGTATGGTATTCTCTTTCAAAAAAGTAGACGTTCGAATCAAATTACATTAGTGTGAATTGAAAAAGAATCTAGGTTGTTCTTGCCATGCCATTAATCCAAATAAGAACCAGAACTATCGACGCACTCGATCACAATTAGGCTGGCTATGAAGTTGTGAGTGTTTGACTACAATAATTACAAGGTCTATAGGACAAGATTGCTCTGCAGACATTATGTGAAAACGGTAAGGTTTCTATGCTGAGATATAGGTAATAATTTGAATTTATTAAGCGCTCAAGGTCAGTGGCGTGGAGCCAATCAAGAATTTTGAAAGGAGGGTGGGGGTGCTGAATGAAAAGGCCTATTGCATCCACTGACCTCTTTTTAAGGTGCCATATTATGGACGAACATATGGATGGCTAAGGCTACACCATAAATAGGATGTTAACGTCTAAAGTAACTTACTTTGCCATTTATTTCCATTAATTTACTATTATTTTGTATAAAAATGGTGTGCTCGGATACCGTAAAACCCCCACTGGTGGACGCCACTGTGGGTGATAATAACTATAGTATGAAGTCGAATATGTTTGCATCTTCATTTTTAGTCACAGAGATGATTTAGTCACAGGACTTCTCAGGCTTAAAATGACTTTAATTCGTGACATTAATACTGAAGGTTTTACCGCATGCAGTTAAACTGCAGCGAAGATGAAGAGAATAAAGCAAATTGAATTCTAAAAAATGAATGTTTAACTTATTTGACCAGTTTCATATTCTAACAGGACTTTCAGCTGAACTCAATACAACATACCTGTATTGGATGTGTTTTAAATTTAGTGGAGTCATTCTTACAGGTTGAGTTTGGTTTATATTTTCGATAATGTATTGGATTCTGTTGCCGTTTGCTTTATGTAAGTTTTGACCATAATATTTGTTATCATTAAGTTCATTTTTATGATAAGCGATAATGTTGTGTCTGCTTGGAAGTAAAATAGCTTATTACATTTTCTTTTTTACGAGAAACTCGTTTATATTGGATTTTTGAAGTTTTCACATAGACATACTTGTTTTGATGCTGATCTTACAAGATTTTATATCTTTGGTTATAAATAGACTTGTAAAATATTTGAAATAAGGATGATGTTAATACTGATGTACGGTACGTGAATGTAAACGGTACATTTATCAGTTAACAATGGTTAAAGTGTGTTTGGGTAGGCTACGTATACGCCGCGATTTGAAGAGAGTTTAACCGTGCCTTCATACACTATAATTAGGCCTACTATTATTATTTTTAGAATTATTATCGTTTATTATTATTATTATTACCATACCAGTAATTTATACAGACCTTATTTTCTTTTACGTTGCATTTTATCAGATTGTATCCACGTTAAAGGACAACAAGAAGGAGGTAGGCCTATAATTATGTTTGTCCCGTGAGCACTTGAGTCGTGGCATGGTTTCCGTTTTTTTTTCTTTGTTGACGAAAGCCAAATATCTTTTTTTCCCGTGTGTGCACATTTTCAAATAAGTTAAGGCTACTGCCTGAGTGCTTACCATTTATGCAGCATCCATTAAAAATGTTATCGTTTCCGTTTACTAGGATTCATATTTGGATTATAATTAAAATTTAAATTTCAATGCCATTGCCTCATTATTAATCATGAACAGACTATTTTTTTTATGGAATAATGTATATGGCACTGTGACTGGGGCTTTATATTTAGGATGTCTTACTCATCTGTCAGTCATGTTTTTGTAGAAGTCATGACTCATTGCTCCTATTGTTCCGCAATGAACAATGAATATTCATGAGCGTCGATATACTATAAAAAGTGGTAAAGTTCATGAGATCAAAATCATTATACTTTACATGATTTTTATTTAGATATCCTTGTAAAATAACACAATTATATCTTAGAATATATTTTTCATTGAGTTTTAAATGAATAAATGCCCGTATAATTTTTTTATTAATGACATTTGTATATAGCATTTAAATTATTCGTATATAAACTTATACTCGTGGAATGTAAAGCATACTTACCTGGCACAGGAGAGACTTTGATCAAGAAGGAAGTCCTCCCAAGGCGAGGCCACGGCATTGCACTTAGCTGTGGTTGACCCTTGCGATTCCCCCAAATGTGGGGAACTCGGGTGTATAATTTATGGTAGCGGGGGACTGCGTAGATGTGTATAAGAGACAGACATTATATAAATTCAACAAGGCAAGTTTTGTGTAAATCATAAGAATACGAGACCTCAACCAGCGAAATCACATGAATTGGGACAAAACCTAAAAGAATATACTATGTATGCGTATCCTAATCTAGCTTGAAAATGACGGAATACAGTATTTAACGAATGACGACGAAGCAGGTGTACCTTGATGTTTTATATATTGTAAACATTTAAATACATGATATACTAATGATGAATTTGTGAGTTCTTATTGGGTTTAAACTACAGTTTAGTTTTCAAGGCTCCGATAATAATGATATTATTATTATTATTATTATTATTATTATTATTATTATTATTATTATTATTATTATTATTATTATTTTATTATTATTATTATTATTATCATTATTATTATTATCATTATTAATATTAATAGGCCTATTATTGTTGTTGTTAATTATTGTTATTATTATTATTATTATTATTATTATTATTTCAGTTGGTGTGCTTCTCAAGTCTTCGAACTCTGTAATCGAACTGACTCCAATTACAACTGATCCAGGCGGTATTAACTTTTCATTAGTGGCTGAAAATAAGAATGGTAAATTTATACAATTTTGTGGTAGTAATAAACTATGTTAAAAATTATGATAAATTTTCCAAAAAAATTAAATTACTTAATTTTTTTTCTTTTAATTTCTTACTCTTCACTACACAGAACCAATCGGAATAATTGCAATTGTGCTGAGCTGGAAAAACTTAACCACTTCGTCGTAAGTATATTTTATCACACCAAACCACTAAACATGAAGGGACGAACTCGTGTAGGCCCATATATTTTTTTAAGCCAAGGGTGGCGCCAGCTAGGGAAGCCCGTCGAGGAGTGCTGCCTGCTCCCCTCCGTCGGGAGAAAAACAATTAAGGGTTACAGAAGCTTACATGATAGACGTGAACATCTTTGTATTGACTTCGCCAAAGATATTGTCAAATAGATACTCTAGCTGGTTTCCAAACATGAGAAAACACATAAGATGAACCTTAGGTATACTAAAAAATATATCAACATGAAGTCTAGAAAATGTCGTTAAGCAATAGTGCAATACCCAAGTTAACTCGAAAATTATCCTCTGTACAGCCCTAAATTTGAAATACTTCTAGCAATTGCATTAATCGCAGCTTAAACACATTTTAAAATGCTTTTAGTTAATAATTGTAGGCCTATTTATCCTTTTACCTTTGTCGTCGTTTTTCACTTTTGAGGCATTTAATTGATTTGTACATATATATTTGTTTATTCCTGCATTTAATCCTTTAGGTTTTAGGTAGTTTTAAGTAATGTTTTTACATTTTTTTTATTTTATATCTCTAATAAAAATTACATTTTTTCATATATTTTAACATTATATATTTCCATAACTGTCAAAATTGTTATTTTTTCCTTTAATTGAATAATTGAATTGAAATTTCACTGAACATGATCATTTACAGATCTGGTAACAAACTTACGAATTATTTTATTGCAAGCGATTTGGTCTCCATAGTTGTATATAATGCTGATGGCAATTATATTCCGAAAGTGAATACAACAATTTTATATCCTGCAATACGGGTAAGATATTTGCATTATCTGCATTTGAATTTGGTATTTTAATTATGAGACTGATGCGTTTCATTATATAACCAGTAATACTTTCAACTACTATACAATAAATTCTCTTAATTAGTAGTAATATGTAGTTAGGGTTTCTTTTAATATAGGTGTCCCAAATAAGGGGTCTATTACTTTTTATTTAAATATATATAGGCTACCACCGGGAGGTACTAACTGGTCCATGCCGGGCACTCTGCGAACGACGATCGTCGGCCGACGCGATTCTATGAAGAACGCAACGCCGAGACGCGCGCGCAACCGATCGTTTTTAATGGCGATCCGTTTATTGCCACCGATCAACACACGACGTCGAGTCTGGCACTCACCACAGGCAGCGGAGTTGAACTCGTCTTCCGACGGTCACACGCACGTCGTACGACGCAGTGAGTGACCAGCTTAAGGAATATGGAACTAGTGGGGAGCAGTTTCAGTTTCCACCGTGCCTGCTCACTAGGTCTACCCATAACTCAATTTGTTGAAAAGAAGATAGTTTGTGTACTACACATTTACCTGTCGGTATCATTCATATTATAATTATTTATTATTATTAGCGGGCGTAACATTTATTTTAATTAAATATGCATTTGAATTGTTTTTTTTTTTTTTAAAGCATACACTTCCTGAAAATAATGATATATTGTGGCCAGTCTGTGTGTTTATCAACGAAACATCATCCCCACCGTAAGTTAGACCATACTTGTCTCGTAGAACGATGGTGATGATGAAGGAAATGTGCACGTATTAAGTGTAAAGTTAATTGAACGTATGTGGTTCAAATTATTCTTATTTTATTTTGTTTTGTTATTTTTTATTATTTGTGCATTTATAGAATACTTTTTTGCATATCTTATTATTTTTCACAATTATTATTATTATTATTTTAATTGGGGCAGCAGATTGTGAGATATACGACCGGAAAATATTTAAAAAATTCTAAAATCTGCATCTTACTTCTTCAATCCATCCGCCAAATGAGGCCTATCATAGGCCTCAAGTGGCAAGCCCATCAGTCAGGCTTACAAGTCCGGGCTGCTTCCAGTCCGCCGGCCAGAATTTGATACATGGTCGGTCCGCTATAGTCAGCCTTTCCTAACTAAACGTTCTCAAATATACATCTTACTTCTGAAGAGCACCAAATTCTGGGAGGACCAAGACATGAAATATTGTCAATGTGTGAAAGTTTGGGGTTAATCCGACCAGTAGTTTTTGAGTTATGCTCCCGGAGGACAAACACAACAGACAGACACACAGACACACTGACAGACGGAGCTAATTGCAATACCCTCTTCCACCCTTTGGGGGGCGAGGGTTATAATACGGTAATTTACATTTCAGGCAATGGTCGACTGAAGGCTGTGATACAAGACATGATGATGTTACGCAGGGCGTAACTTGCTTGAGCAATCACTAAGAAAATGTTACGGTACATTTTTCAGATGCTGGCTGAACGTTGATAATGGAGTCACGTGGTCCTTTGTAGGACCTATTATTTTATCATTTTCGGTGAGTGAAATTATCCGTTTACTCTATTTATTTTACATGTTTTGCATATGACAAGCTACGAAATACCATGTTATAATACAAATGGTATTTACCAAAGTAATACCATCAAAAAAACCAAAGCATTTTAATTTATTTTATAATATACGTTGCTAAAACCACCACTAGGATGTTTAATGAACATGAACATATATAAAGTAAATTATACACAACGACAATCAAGTAGGAATTACAAATACAATACTGAACAGTTAAAAGTTGGTAATATGCTAACAAATAATGGAGAAGGCACGAAACAACTGTAGTTATATGTGAATTTTTTTCGCAAAGCCGATGCTCGTGTGATTGTGAGTTTCTTACCTATCAGGTCCAATGCGGGCTGAGGCAGTAACGGCAAGCCCTCTCATGACTAACGCTGCGCGCTTAACCGCGGTGGTGGACCTTTCCTGTCACTCGACACTATTTCTACCCCTCCTGTACTCCTGCTTTTGGAGTCCTCAGGAGGTCGGCCTTGCCCACCAGAACCAGAACCATGCGCTTTCCTCTTTCCATACAAACACTATATTCGCTTGCCAGTTCTTTAGATTGGATGTTTATTTTAGAATTTGTTTAGGCCTATATCATGGTTTGTTCTAAATAATCGTAAAGTTTATTTTGTATAACATTAAACCAAATAAATACTGCAGGTTGTTACGATTCAGCTCATCATAATTGGATACGTGGTGTACACGAAGACTCAAACGCCTCACCAAAGTGACGAGGAGAAGAACAAACTGAAGCATATTCGGTGAGTTTTAAAATTAAATTTCATAGATGGACTTTTCATGTTAAGAGGTTCAATAGGAATTATGTTTTTGCCCTCCTGACGACGAATGCTCAATACGTTCCCTAATACAAAAACTCACAAGTTGCAAGTGGTTTGGGTGAGAATCGAACTCACGTCTCCAGATAACTGGTCGGTTGTCTAGTGGTTGAGACACCAATATAGTTATCTAGAGGTCTTGGGTCCGATTTGGGAACGCACTGTGCATTCACTACGTTAACACGTCGGGTATAGGGACCTAGGGCAAAAACATCATTCCTAATTTCAACGTTATTATGGTATAATACTAAATCAAGAGCTAGGTCAATTAACTAGTCCATGCTTTGAGCGTCGTGTTCTTCATGAAATAGCGCTATTGATGTATTGAGTATAATGATATAAAAGTACGCGATTGATGTTGTTTTAGTTGTAATAGGAAAAGAGAACACGAGGCAAGAATGAATGGATAGATGAAACTTGTTAACCAAATTTCACGAAAACAGTATAAAAATATGATTCATTGCGTCCAACCTCCTACAATAGAACATGAGGAACATATGAAGAATGATATCTGCAGTATTCTTTAAAATCTAAAGGCCAACTCAGATAGCGTCGTACGACGCAGCCCGACGCGATTTGTTGTCGCGTCGGGTGTTAAACGCAGACGCGATATTTGCGTCGGGGGCAGTCGCGTCGTAGAATATTAAACATGTTTAATATTTCTCACGACGCGACGGCTTGTCCCCGACGATAAATCGGATCGGGCTGCGTCGGCCGACGCTGTCTGCGTTGGCCTTAAGAACATTAATATCTTACTTTTTTTGTAATTTAGGAGTACGTTATATAGAATTCTTCTTCTGACCCCGGTTGTTGGACTAACGTGGATCTTTGGTATTCTGAGCCTCTTGCATAGTACCATTATTTTGAAGTATCTGTTTGTGATTTCAACGTCTATGCAAGGCTTCTTGATCTGGTTCACACAGTGTTTCCTTAGCAAGGAGGTAAGCTATTATCTTTATAATATTATATAATTTATTTCGTTAAAGAATGCAATCATTCAAATAATCAAAATATATAAAATCTATGTTCGAAAATTAAAACTTTTCCTGGTGTTTATTTCAGTGCATTGTTATTAGTATAAATGTGTTTCTTTTCAGGTTAACGAAGCATGGAGGAAGTTTCATAACCAACATATGATGTCCAACATTGTTGATGTTTCATCCTATACGACAGATAGATGAACTGTTTCGTCCGTTCATGTTGCGAACATGACAAAGGATACGGTCATGTGTCACTTTTCCTATTAGGCCTTTTCGACTGGTACATAGTCAGTGTGTTGTAGAATAATAAATTCTTTACTTATCATAACGTGTTAGCTAAATGAATTCATGTTTTGTGAAATATGACCTTTCTTATTATTAAGAGGCCTATACAAGATTCCAAGATACATTTTAATGTCAAATATGATATATGATTTCCATTCAAGATCATTCTCATTCCAATAAATAATAAATAAAATTTTATAGGCTTCTGACTATGGTAAAGCAAATAGATTGGCCTATAAACAATATTTTTATAATATAAAAACATGAACATAACGTTAAATTGTGATTATCTGGTATAATTTGAGTTAATGATGAGTAAAAATATTGCGTTGAAGATTATTACTCATTCTATGTTCTCGTACGGCAGCCAATGGTTAGCAGGATCCGGATCCTGCTAACCGTTAGTTGCCGTACGTCTAGAAAATCCCGATCCGGATACCAAGAATAATATTCTTGGTATCCGGATCGGGATTTTCATCATATTATGATGATCGTATCACTGGCCAATAGAAACTGGAAGTTGTAAACGCGATTAGTTGATGATATCCTTTAGTGGTATCCGGATACATACGGTAGTTCAACCAACCTTAAAGATTTGAAATGCGTGACTAGACCAGTTTGTTGGGGGAGGGTGCAGGGCCCGGGGTCCAAATCGATTTCAATGAGCGTTTGTTGACAATACCGGGATACAAAAATATTTTTGATAAAATCACATACAATTTGAGTTTCAATGTATGGCCTACATTATGTTTAATTTGAGCACCCGAACTATGTACACAAACATTTAATGACTTAAACAAGCAAAACATGAATACCGGTAGGCATACTGATTAATTTTTAGTAGCGCGTCAGTGAATTATTTTATCACGCATAGAACTGTGCTAAATGCTTGACAAATTTATGATCACCCATGTGTTTCTGCAAAATGCGTGTTTCAACCAAAATCGCGGGACCGTCCCGCACGATGCTAGACGGTTGGTAACTATGCGGATACCGCTAACGGGCGCTAACCGATCGGGCGTTCTCACACAGGTGTTAACGGTTAGCGCTAACAGTTAGTCCGATCCGGATACAGGGCTCTCCTGAGAACCTAACCTTCTTAGATCGATTTATCTTTTATTGATATTCTATGTAATAGAACTAACATTTGAGCAGTTGTGTGTCGAATTGAATTTCCGAAAGGATAAGTAAAACGAACTATGAACTATGAAAAGTGTCATACAATAAAGTATATAATTATTATATGATCTAAAATATGCAATCCTGGTTTGCTGTTACGTCTGCCTACGTAAGCAGCCATTTCAATGTATTTAAAGCATGGTGGAGGTTTTAGTCATTTAAAAATATCAGTAGACACACTAAACTTAATTATATAACTAAATAATTATATTTATGATACGAATTCGAATTAACCGATCATTTTTATGTACTTCTTTATTATGTGTTATTCACAGAACGTTTCCTATTGGTCGTCAGGTTATTATCATCTAGAGTAGGCCAAAGCCTGATGAGTTGACTAATGCATGGAAATGTATAAATTAGGGTACGGGTGCAGGTTTGATCCCATTTGAAATTAAGAAGCCTGCATTTTCAAGGGAACAAGCTTGAAGTCAGTCCATTGGTTAATTTATCATTCTAAAGCAATAAATTAATTCCATCATAATACTGAGGCACGATATAATGTACTGGTTCTGGTTCTGGTGGTTAAAGCCGACCTTCTGAGGACGACTCCAAAAGTGTAGGAGTGGCGGAAATACAGTCGAATGATAGGAAAGGTTCACCACCGCATTTTAAGACGCGTAGCGTAAATTAACTTCATGTAAGCCTATATAAAAACCACAATAGCAAAAAATATACTGATTCATTGTATTTTCATTATCATTATTATGAATAACATTGCATGTCAGAAAACTGAAATCACGAAAAAGTTTCAAAATTGCATTTATTTAATATTTAGGCCTCGGTACGTTTTGCTTAATAAAGATTGTTTGAACTCTGTTTTGTTCTCTTTTTTAGTATAGTGTACCGTATTTCGTTATGATACTTTTAGTATGCCTGATTCGCATAAAGTTGTTGTTGCTTTTTTTTTTGTCACCTCTCTCTCTCACTCTCTCTCTCTCTCTCATTTCATCCATGTACTTAGTAATCGATATTTTCGTGTATATAGGCATGTTTGATGAAATAAATGTAATGGAGAGAAAGACTTACGCCTAAATAGAAAACCGATTTTATTGTTTTTTGGAATTGAGGCGGTTTCAATCATTCAGGCTCTGAACCTCGTTGTTCAAGGTTCGAAAACACGCTGACCATTTTTAGTTAGGGCGGCGCAATGGGGGCTTAAGCCCCATCGGACATGTGAATCCCCCTCCCCCAGTGGCGTAACGAAGGGGCCCTTTAGGGGATACGCTGGAGATACGCTGGAGATGGGGCTGCGAAGGGCACCCGGCCGCTCCCGCGTTTTTTTTAGCGTTCGACGTATTGTTATGCCTTTTTTTTCACACATTCGAATTCTATGTTTATGTATCATGATTTGACCCAAAAAAGCATACTCAATTTTAACTAAGATATCACTAATAAACATATTACAATAAATACCAAAAAAAAAAAAAAAAAAGCCAATTAAAATCAATAAATATTTATGAACTACAGTACCGTACTCGCGCAACTTTTTCAAGTTTCAGCAAACCGTAGACTGGCGATAGTGATGACACTAAAATGCCCCAGTCACTAGGCAGACATTGCTTGGAAAAGGGCCTTGGTTATTTGTTTGTAAAAAAAAGTCTGAATTTGTTGTGCCCCTAGCTTTAGCCAGTGAGAGCTCATAGCCGTTACGCGGGCCGTTACGCCACTGTCCCTACCACCCCCACCCCCGAACAAAGCTCGTCGGGCAGTCGGACCAAAAAATACAAAAAATAGGCCCAAGAAATGAAGCGTGTATTTATTGAGTTAATTGAGTTTGAGAGTATAGTAACAATCGTATTTTATCAACTTTTATATTTCTTTACATTACAACTTTACAAGTCCGAGAGTGCCATTCCCGCCATCCAGCGGTCCCTATTAAAAAAAATCTCATTAGCGATACCCCCTCCCAAGCCCCTTCCCCTCCCACTGCGCGCCAAAGTTATTATCTGACCCAGCCCCCTCCCCTTTCGGACAGCTAGAGGTCTGCCATTGCTTATAAATTAATTAAATTCTGACAGTCTCTCGTTAATATTGATGGTAACATCAGGCTTCACATACCAAAATAAATATGTCTTATAAAAATATATACCCGGTAGGCCTATATAATTATTTGAGTCAATTGCATAGCTTTAGCCAGTGAGAGCTCATAGCCGTTACGCGGGCCGTTACGCCACTGTCCCTACCACCCCCACCCCCGAACAAAGCTCGTCGGGCAGTCGGACCAAAAAATACAAAAAAATAGGCCCAAGAAATGAAGCGTGTATTTATTGAGTTAATTGAGTTTGAGAGTATAGTAACAATCGTATTTTATCAACTTTTATATTTCTTTACATTACAACTTTACAAGTCCGAGAGTGCCATTCCCGCCATCCAGCGGTCCCTATTAAAAAAAATCTCATTAGCGATACCCCCTCCCAAGCCCCTTCCCCTCCCACTGCGCGCCAAAGTTATTATCTGACCCAGCCCCCTCCCCTTTCGGACAGCTAGAGGTCTGCCATTGCTTATAAATTAATTAAATTCTGACAGTCTCTCGTTAATATTGATGGTAACATCAGGCTTCACATACCAAAATAAATATGTCTTATAAAAATATATACCCGGTAGGCCTATATAATTATTTGAGTCAATTGCATTTCTAATTGTCACTTTGTCTCTAGGATAAAACTGACCATTTTGGCTGGGTTGGCCGAATAGCCTAATGTTACGCTAAAAAAAATAATCAGAAAATTAACTTGCTCATTAATTTAGAAGTAACATAAAACTAGAGTGTACGGCACACAACAAATATTTAAATTTACCCATATATTTACCGCAAATATAGGCCTAAATAAAAATCAGGGTAAAACTAAACTTTAATAACTTAAATAATTCTAGGCCTAATGCTCTTTTTATGTTACTTTAAAATGAGCAAGTTAATTTTAAAATTGATTTTTTTTTTGTCATATATAAGGGGATTGATCCTAAATAAAGCTGTCCCCTGGCTATGGGTGTCAAAGAAAATTAAGGATTGAAATGAAATTCAACCACCACTACAAAACGGATGGAAAACGGATAACAACAACAATTTATAATAGCGCCACCATCATAGACTGTGCTTGGGAAATTCTAGAATATTCTGTATCACAAAACTGTAGCACTAACGCTACTCATTCAATAGTTAACCAGTGTTAAAAAACATTTATTTTACATCATCTTCACTTTGACTAAATGGGATAATAAATACACAATCCTATGATTATTATACATACTTTAAGTACAGTATCGCTGCGGTTACGTCATTTTTTACCCCGATTTTAGCTTGTAATTTATATTGCAATAATATCTGCAAATTTTTCAAATGACAATTAATATTTATGTAATAATTTATTGTAAAGATATATTTATTTTAAATAATACTAATTATTATTTACAATTAACTTTGTGTGAAAAAAATCGTAACTATTATTTGCAATTAACTTTTGTGTGTGGAAAAAATAACCATAATTTGTGTTGCATTGTGGGTAAATTGTAAGCTTTACCTCTTATGATTCGGGTAATTAAAGGTTGCGATACCCCACGTGAAATCTGCAGCGGTTGGTTGGGTCACTGCTTTGTATGAAATTATGCCTTCAGCTTCGAGTAAAGTTGCTACACAATTTTCCACCACAGAAAGTCAGGACCATATGAAACAGGTCCTACTTGTGGTGGAAAAGAAGATTAGAAATATAGAGAAAAAGAAGGTAAATTTTCTAATTCCTATAGTATTTTAAGTGTATTTTAAATTATGACTTGAGAAACCGGAAGGAGGATGGGCACACCGTCAGAAGTAGGCCTAGCCTAGGCATGCGTTCAGAATGAGGTGTGTGTAGGCCTAGTCCACTGGCAGTGTATTGTAGTACTGACTCGCAATGCCAGGCCGGTTAGGCACCATCCTTTGTAGGTGGTTATGATGATATTTATGCTGTGTGTGCTGTAAATATGTCATTCTATGAGAATATATATGTATCTTTGTTTTATGATAATCCTTTACCATATTATTTCCAGCAACCATCCATAAATATCACCAACAACAAAAAAGATTCCTTTTTTAATTGGTAATTAAAGACATAAAAGAGGCTAGCCTAGGCCCAGAGTTCTGAGTTCCGGAACCAGATCTGTTGTTGTTAGCACAAACATCTGTGCACTGCTAATGAATAATTTTAATTTTAATAATGTTTTATTGGTCCTCATTCTAGCCTAGGCCTAATAGGAAATCTGAAATTGGGGTTGAGACGCAGTGCAGCGCCACCCAACATAACTAGGAGGGGACCCTCCACCCATTTTTTCTCATCATCAACTCTGCTTTTCCATAACCATCACCCACCACTAACCAATGTCAGCCCTAGGTAATCTAGGCTGGCCTTCTTTCAACAAATAATGGACATAATTCCAGAGTCTATATTTAGGCTACAGGTATGACTATATGTGTTGTTTTTTCAAGTCATTAAACCCCACTCAAAAGGGATGATGCCTCCAACTGTGTGCATATCTGAATTTTTATGGACAAATTTACCAGTAAAAATGTTTCACTTAGGAGAAAACTGCCATAAGTTTGTTGTCCTATTTAAAGGGCTAGGCAGGCCTACAGTAGCTTAGTTTTAGTTTTAATTGCCAAATCACTTAAAATAACAATCACATGTATTTTGATTTATTTTTATTAGAGAATACCCAATTAATAGTTAATATGGTGTCTTTAATTATTTATTATTTTATACCGAAGTGCCAAAGCGCTCGATGCATGGACTAACTTGTACAGTAACTTCCTTGTACTGTAATGTTCATTATATATCTGAGCTACTTGATGTGTTTTTTCATACCCTTTTGGTACCACCTGCAGTGTTCTCCCTAGCATCATGGGCAAGCGTCGTAGTTGGGACTGATACAAGGTATTTTTAATAATTATTATTATTGAAATGGCCTAAATTGTACTTTAAGTCTATATAAAAGCAGGAAACATTTAAATAATTTAACTGTTCCCTGATAAAAGCATCATGGAAGATGTTCCAAGCATCATGGTCACCTGCCAAGCATCATGAGGAAGTCCCAAGCATCATGGTACCATGATGCTTCAAGGGCCTGGGGAGAACATTGCAACTGTATTGCAGTTTTTTTAAATTGTGCCAACTTTCTGCTAGCTTTATTATTGGTGGTTGTGCGCCAGAAAGATGATTCAGTGTAATGAAATTATAAAATATAAATATTTAATTGAAATAAACTTTAGTCCACCAATCATTGAAACAAATGTATTCTAACAGTTTCCAAAGAGTGCAGGGTTCAAATTTCCTAAAAATGCTCCATCAGCAAATAGTTGCTGTGGGCTATGGTTTTACTACTGTACAGCAATTTATTCTTCTTCTACAGTATAGCAACAAGCTTTGTAAATAGTATTAGAATAGGCCTACTGCTATAAATGTGTGTATCATCCAGTGCTGGGTCAGGTGACTCAACCGCAAAAAGCTTGTTGTCAAGCCTGGGATTTACAGCAGCAGTGGAATTCCCTTTCAGCAGCAGTTGTTGTTGGTACTGTGGGGAAATTTGAACCCTGTACGGTATGAACATAATTACCAAGACAAAAATCCCAATATATTAAAAGTTTTTTTTTTTTGTCAATTGCAGGGCAAGTTAGAAGGTTACAGAGATCTGGTGAAAGATGGAAAAGTATTGAATGATGATCAGCGCCAATCACTGAAACATTATGATGAGGTGCTTGGAAACCTGGAGTTTGCGAAGGAGCTCCACAAAACGTTCCAGTCTTTGGCGACAGATGTAGGTTCATGGTATTTTAGGTCATTTTAGGTTTTCTTAATTAAAAAAGAAAATCAATTTAAGTTTTGTTGTGATGGATTGAGATTCAGTTTGTGACTTTTTTAACGATTGGTAATAACCACTGCGTGCACCGATCTGTGGAGGTTTTTGGCTTACTTACAATTTAAACAACTCAAGCCTTTGCATCACCACCTAGGTTCAATAAAACCTGAAAATGACGTATTTTGGGAATTATTTGCAGACTAATACTCTTTCTGTTAAATATTTGTGACCCAAGCTCACAAAAGCGCTGTAAACTCGTCCTCAGGCCAAAATGAGTTTTTGTTATAATGGCATAGAACATATCATTTACTTTAAAATGACAGTTAAATGAACTCAATCAGGTGTCTGGAAGCAAAGTTATGACCGTTTGAATAATTGTCATCTTATCACCTTTCTTCAATCAAGTTTTGAGAAAAATGCTTTTATTTTTGGCAGGTTTCTATTATTTTTCACCTGCTCCCATCCGAAAATGGCTAAATTTTACCTCTTACAGTTATAATTTTAAACTCAAACTTCAGGAATAGTAAGATTAATAGTTATACTTTATTTATTAATCAAACTTCAGGAATACTAAGATTAATAGTTATATTTTATTTATTACACAAAAACCCAATTCACACAAAATTCACATTCTACACCCTATTCTGGCTATGGAGTTCTGTTTCTTAATACAGTGTGGTGCGAGTTTACAGCCCTTTTGTGAGCTTGGGTCACATTTGTAATGGCTTTTGGTAACGTGATGATGCACGTTGAATTAAAATGCCATATGTATAAATAATAAACCAGAAAAGTACCCAGTATCACTTCATTAAATGACAAATTACCTAGAAATTTCACTTCACCATCTTGGGACCTTTCATTGCTGCCCAGTTTGTGTTGTAGATACTGTGGTGTTCAGTCTGACCCAGTTATAAATCACCTTCTTTAGTGCATTACATTTAACATAGATTAGCTGCAGTATGAAAATCTACTAAGTGAGGTAGCTGGAAATTGGGATTAATATTTGTTGAGAAGTCATGCAGTTTTTAAATATGTTTCATTCTAAGAAATCCACATATGAATATTAAAATATGTGTTCAGAAGACAATGACAATTTCTAGGAAGTATGTTCTATTTAATTATACCAACTAAATATATTGCTGCCTAATACACATAAAATATATGCAAATCACTGGAACTGGTTATTGCTTTATTTTTGAAATTGGATAATCATGTGATTCCTAATTTTGAATGGTTTTTGTGTGGTATTATCTTTTATCCTGGAAATAGTGTTAAAAATGAAGCTAGAATGAAACGTACTGTGAATGAGCTCATGGAAGAATTGGTTTTTAATGAAGAGATTCCATAATACTGTATGAATAAGGAATAAATAACAATGTCAAAATAAGATTGGTTTCATCAGCCAGAAATAATGTATCAGTATGAGATAATTATATACTGTAAGAAAAGCATAAATAATTAAATATTAACAAAAATACATTTAATTAAAAGTTATCTTCAATAATTATGCAATATTAAAGACATGTCCCAACCTATGTTCTTGCAATACACCTTTAATAGATCCGGCCATTTACATCTAATTAAGTGCAATACTAACAGATTAAGAAGATCTTTCATTCATAACTCAATCCATATGTACAATGATGACTTTAATAGATAAACTTCAGTAGCTAACTCTTGTAAATAATTGTATTATTTTGTATTTCCTGTTTTATTTATGTCCTTGATTAATTTATTATTATATTTCTAACTTTCATACTAATTTTTTTTTTTTTGCATCGGGAAGACGAATTTTACTTGTATTTTATGTACCAGTGACAATAAAAGAATCTTGTATCTTGTATCTTCTAATATTTCTGTACACAGTATGCAAAAATGGAGAAAAAGAGGAATAAGAGAGAGCTTGTGTTAAGACAAGAGCAGGAACAGAAAACGATTCAAAGCATCCTACTGCTTCAAAACGTGTTGGATAACATGGGGCAACAACAAATCAGAAGTGACTTTGAGGCAGGCAATAATGGAGCCATTGTAAGTAACAATTGTATGCCCATAGATAGGCATGATGTTTCTATATATGTGGCAAAGACAAGCCAATCCAGTCACTCGTTGCAAAAATGAATTTTGAGTTATTAATACAGTGTTAGAGAGTAAAATAATAGCTATAAAGTGGTAAAAAAATCATTCAAATCGGACATTTATTTATGAAGTTACAAGCGATTAACCACACAGCTATTTAAAGAACAATATATGAGAAATTAACCGTCAAAGTTTATGATTTCAGGCATTTCTCATGCAGAAACTATCTTTAAACCCTTAAAAAATATTGTTTTAATATTGAAAATGGGGAAAATAACAGCATAGAATGATGTGTAGATATATAAAGGTTAGTTTAGTGCAATAAAATAGATTTTAAAAAATTTGACATTCCAGCATGTTTTGGCCATTTTCTCTGAAACACGATTTGCGACGAGTGACTGATTTGGCTTGTCTTTGCCACATATGGTCATGATGTGATGTCATGACCATATTTGAACATGTTGCATGTTTTTGTCAAATGAAATTTGATAGACTGGACAGAGCTTTAAACTTCTTGTCATTCTGTACTATTCGTGGGCGGGGGATTTACAAAACTTTCTGTTTCACTTTCTAAATGAGCATATGTTGCTTTTCATTTTTGTGTTCTGACATGTTTTAAAATCGGAAGCAAGTCATAAAGGATTAAATGAAGGGAATGACATTTTGTTGGGGGTTTTTTTTCTATCCAGTTCTAACTGTACTGTGAAGATAGGTAGTTTGATAAGTTGATATATTGGTTGCATGAACTGTGCTTACAGTCCAGCAAACGCAAGATCAGTTAGCTCAACAATAAGCGACAATATGCCCGATACCTACGATGAGAAAAATGCTTACCTATGTTGTTCATCATATCTAGCCCGTCTCTAACTCCCGTGGACTGGGTAAATGATTATGATTGGCCGATTCAGCCAGTTGAGCACATGGTGAGCATTCTGCATCGAGGCAAAAATTAATATCATACAGTATACTAGAGATATTTAATTCTCAGAAACGAACTGTGCGCTCAAAATGAGCAACAAGAGCAAACTAGCAAACTGCTCCTGTGCAGAGGGCTTACACAGGTAGCATTTTGAAACATATAATATATAATATCAGCATGTTTACATCTTCTATTTTGCGCATAGAAGAAATCAATTGTAAAATAATAATAATAATAATAGTAATATGTCGGTCATATATAGCGCCTCATGCATAAAACCTCTAAGCGCTTTACATTACTACCCTGGTCATTGGATTAAACACGTATGGAACACATACTCAGTTCGAACCTACCAGGTCCTTACTTGCACTCCTGGGTGGAGAGACAACTGTAGATAAAGCACCTTGCCCAAGGACACAAGCGACGTGCACAGCGAGAGTTGGAAAATTAGAATTACAAGAATTACAGTCATCTTTTTGGCATTGAATCATACTGTATTTTGTATTCAAATTGTAGTATATCCAATATTAAAGCGAAGGTGTTCTGTTTGACCTGGTTCTTCTTTCTTTTTTTGTAGTTGATCTAATTTTACTTTATAATTAATCAAGTCCAGAACTTGAGTATTCTTATGATTAATGCTAAAATGTCAAATGTAAGCAGATTTTGTATACATATTCTATGCCAGTGTGAAAAAAAAAAAAAAAAAAAAAAATCTACATCAGCCCTTCATACTGTATTTAAAATATCAATTGAATGTACATAGAGTAACAATTGATTAAACAACTGCCATTGTTGAATTTATAATTAAAAAATGATTGAAACAACAAATTTGCAACAAACACAGGAATTAATGGTCTTCTTTTTCATGGTATTTGCAAAGTGTATTGTAGAGATATTATGTTTTTAAAAAATGTTATCCTTAATATGATAATTGTTTTTTGATTAGATATTGAGTGCAGAAGAATTAACATACTTGGATGAGTTTTACAAGATTGCTTGCCCATCAAGGGAGGATGACGAAGATGATACTAAAACAACAGAAAGGTGAATGTATAGACTATAATAGGCATTTATATTTTTATTATTATTTACGTGCATATTAGAAATATATTGTTTACCATATGATTATACAGTAGTTGCTGTTTTGCCATTCAAATAGGGTGAATTATAGTTAGCTATGAATGCAAGAATATAGCTTAAAACTATACTCTTAAATGAAATAACAGAAGAGTGACTATTGACAGACGGGTGACGACTGACAACCAACCTTCGTTCAGTTCAAACTGGTTTTAATCAGAATTAAAATATTCAGAATTGTGCATATAGAGAACGGATAAAGACTAAAATTTGCATAACATCATGTATGATTGATTTTTCACCATTTGTTAAATAATTGAAACCTTGTATGTGGCAAGACAAGCCAAACAGGTCACATCATTTTTAGTTTTAATATGGGGTTAAGTAGTAAAATGAAGTTTAAATCCGACATTTCGTTATGAGTTCAAACATACAGCTTTTAAAGAACAGTATTGAGAAATCTGCATACAATGTTTACGATTTCGGCCATTTTTCAGGGCAGAAAATTTTAATGTCAAAAATGGGAAAAACATCATAGCATGATGTATAGATATATAAAGTTTAGTTTAGTGCAATAAAATAGATTACGGAAATTTTTATATTTCAACATGTTTTGGCCGTTACCTCTGAAACATGATCTGCGAGGAGTGACTGGTTTGGTTTGTCTTAGCCACATATATTGCAAGAGAAACCTTTTCATATGTGTTTTTATATTTTTTTAAATATTTTATTTTTTTTAAAATTTCTAGTTATGAGAAGAAGAGAATGGCTGCTGGAGAACATCTGAGCAAGTATGTAAGAGGGGATGAGTCTAAGGTCTGCGGAACAACATGTATCCTTCTTTAGTAAATTGTGCAAGCCTAAAATTCGTTGTTTTTAAGGGTGATGTTTCTATATATTCTACATCTTTTACCAATTGCATGGTGATTAACTGTTGAGTCTATTTGTCATATTGTACATTAGACATGTCCACTTTTAGCAATGATCACTAAGGGACACGCACACTGATGTAGACACATACTGATAGACATATCAAAAGATACACAGCCACTGATCTCAACAAATTTGTGAGTAATCCTGTACACATGACTTGTAATATATTCAGTAATGTACACTTGAAATCGTAATCAAAATTAATCTATTAATCCAGCAGATATCTTCCTCGTAATGAATTTAATTTTATGTGTCTATTTAGGTAACATGACACTACAGAAACGTAAATAATAACACTACATCCTTTGCTTATATCCTTAAAATTGACTCTTAACCAGTTTAATCATTTTTGTTGTAAAGAGTAAAATAATGAATATTGATTTTCTTTTTCTTAATTGGTGTCACTTTGTAAATTAATAACTTGTTTGATTCTTAAGATGGTATCTACAAATACTTTATTACCTTGACGATGTGTAACTAGATAAAGAATTAAATGGATTGATACAAAGGATTGAAGAGTGTGGCTACTTAGATAACATACCAGATTTCACCCAAGAGCCAGCACAGGAAGCAGCAGGTTAGTATTGAGTGAATTAATGAAGTCCTGTCCAGACTATCAAATCTTATTTTACAAAGACATGTGACATGCCTAAATATGGTCATGATGACATCACATCATATAGGCACATTATGACTATATATGGGCATACTTTATTTTGTCAAAGAAAATTTGATAATCTTGACAGCCTTAGTTTTCTTCCTCTTTAGATGTTACACAATCCGTAGGATATTTTTGCAGGCTTTGAGCAGTTTTATTTTGTAATTTTTTTTTTTTTATCAATACAGATGTTATTGCAATACAAAACATTGTATCAGAGAATGATTGTTAAATTTCTTATATAGAACTTACTTTTGGAGAAGAAAATTGATTGAATTTATATTAAAATTAAGTAGCCTACTTCGTGAATACTTACCTGGATAAATCGACAAACTCCCTATTCTTTCTCACACCCCTAATTTAACAAAGTTCATATAATATTATATGATAGTCAAAATCATATTTTACATGTATAAAAGACTAGTTCATCCATTGTAGTGACCTGTTGAAGTCCTGATAGTTGCACCGTTATTTGTATCTTTAATTTCAGAAACAGAATTGCGAGATGAGGAATACATGACAAATCCAGAGACACTTCCGGCACAAGACACTACTGACGTAAGTCTGAATCAATCTGCCAATTGCACATATGCATTGGCGGATTTAGAGGGAGGCATGAGGGGTGTACGCCTCCTATTTTTGAAAAAAAAAAAAATGTAAAGCTTATTGGAAAATTTACTATGCTTTAATTAAAATCTATCAAATACAAACTGAATTTAACAAAGGTGCTAGACTAGAGCTTCAAGGAAGATTCACCCCCTTGCACCCCATTAGGCAAACAGTTTTGCACATTCATCCCCCCCCCCCCCCCCCCTTACATTTCTTAACAGGCTGAATCCATCCCAGTGTATGTAGAGTATGAAAGTATGGAGGTATTATTGAGAAGGAGATCACTTGGCAACAGATCTGTTTGTCGCGACAAACCAATGTGTTCCCCGCCTTTGGATTGCGGGTGGGCGTATTACCTTATCATTAACATGTTTTTGGCAACGTCATGCTTTTATACGCTTTAACATAGCAGTTGTGCGATAAGCCGTATGATTTTAACTCATTATCTTTAAAATTAACAATGTTCCCCAGATTGGATTTTTTCAGACTTTTAGTATGTTGTTATGTGTATATTTCACAAACAGATTTTGCAAATTATTTCTGTTACAATTATTCTTGTGTTCTTTATAATTTTGTCTAAAGATAGATTGGTTCGTCTATAATGCTAAGGCAGCGTAAAACTGAAAATTACTCTGGCTTTGGATTAAACTTTTGAATAGTCCACAATAATTGACACTAAAATGAATTAGTTTATTATAATCCTCAATCATTCCTTAATTAATATCTGTTAAAATTAGAATTTGATTCTAGTTTTATCCAATTTATGGAAATTAAAGTTGAAATATACTAGGCTTTTAAATCTCATGTAAATGTCTCATTAAATTTGGCGTATTTTTTATATCTATTCTAGTTTTATAAATTTTATATTGTACTTTTTCTCTTTTTAAAATTTAATTGTAATTGAATTGTGAATTCGTTATTGTTTTTTAAAAATAATATTTGAAGTTTTGTGTCATTTGTGTATTATTTCTTATTGTTAATTCAGTTGTTTTAGTCTTGTACTGCTGACTATTTTTTATGATCTTATACCTGAATAAATAAAAAATAAAAATAAAAATTTAAAACCCTTTTTTTGTAGAAATATTAATATGTTTAGCATTTCATGAATGATAAATGTATTAGCTTCAAGGTGGAAACAATTGCGCAGCCATAGTGATGGACTGTAAGTAGTGCGCATTGAGAAAATTTCCATTTCCTCATGTTCAATTTTTTGGTAAACTAAGCCTGCTGAGCATTTGGTGTCGGGGAACAAATTAGACTTCAAAGGCATCGGGTAAACCTACTTCACGCACTGCGGTAGCTTAGTTCATTGGCTTATTTGCATAGTGCTGCGTGTACAGAGCCTCTTCAAGTGATCTCCTTCTCAATAATACCTCCATGGTATAACAAATGCCCTCCAAGGACAACCAGAAGTGAAGCACTATTAAATATATTCTAAGTTATTTATTAAAAGTTTCATAATTCTAGATTTACCACATATCAGATTAAAGATCGCAGTAATACATTTTCAGCCTATTTTGCATTATTATGCTAAATATGCCTTGCTCTATCGTTCACTTGACTATCATATGCAAATTTTGTAGTACTTTCTCGTTCCCCAATATTCTTATGCAAATTGCATGCTACTTTCTCTGTGGAGGAATGAAACTAACAAAATACAAAGAAAGTTAAATAACTGTATGAAGAATATCTGAAAATAAAGCAAAACAACCAATCAATAAAAAAAAAAATAGTATAATTTTGAAAGAACAGTTTCAATATGGTAAAATTAGGTATACTCCCCAGGGAGCAAAGAAAGTTGCACTCTGTGCTGGTTTGCCAAATTGTATCTTATTCAATGGCCAGGGGTAATGAACGCTCTTCACCTTTGATCATTCATTGAAATTGGCACTGTATAATATTTGGGTATCACATTTGGGTATTAAATAAAATTATAGAATGATAAAAAAAAAAATCACATGCAAAAATTATTATGCTAACCTAAATAGATATGACACTCTATATCTATACATTTATGCAACATGTAATTGCAGGATATTTAACACATTTTTAGAAGAATGACATTTTTTGCCAACCAAAAACCACGGTGCGATGTTATTATATAACCACAGTAATTAACATAAACCTCTTTAAAAAAATTCTTTATGCATAGGTACCCACCTCTCTGCAACCTGAAGTCTCACTGAAATCAGAAGTTGAGCCTGTACCTGTCCACCCCGAGTCTGCCGTGTTAGACACCATTGATTACCAGCAGGAAACGAAGGCTGCCCGTGACTTGGACGAGGTCTTGAAAGCTGTCCAGGGTAGTTTCAGCTTTGTGCAGGATCCTATTGATTTTGATGGTAAGTCAGACAAGTTTACGGTAGTTATACCTTTTTAACTGCAATGGGTGAGCACTATAGAAGTATCAAGTAGCAAGTATAATGTTTTTGAAGGCTTTTAGAGCAGTGTTTATTGCACTGACACTGAATTATTGGAGTGTTAAAGTGGTACCATTTCAGCACTCCAGTAATGAGCAGGTACCTTGAGCATTCGTATGTGCCTTGTACTTTGTTGTTCATTCCAGGTGTGGTTGAACACTATATTAATGCTATATAAATGGTATATGTGGTAAATGTATGTAAGTGTTTTGGCTTAGCCATTCAAATCTCCAAGAATAAACTTTGTTTTCTTTGCAGCTCCTCACCTAGTTGATCCTGCTGTAGTCTCAGTTTCCCAGCACTCGCAACCATTTCGCTCTCAGCAGCTAAGCTATGGAACCTCAGGTAAATCCCTAATGTCATTTTGACGTATTTATACTATAATTATTGATTCCGAAAATTTTTGAGTTGTAATAATTTTTGAGGATTTTCCCACATTTTACTACAAACAGTATAAGTTTATGATGGCATTCATGTTTTATATATTTTTCACTGGTGAAATGTATTGTGCTTATTTGGCTAGATTCAGGTATGATGGAGCATTCACAGTCGCATCAAACACTGGAAAGCCTTCAACAATCAGGAGGCCAGGTCTTGGATCAACACCTCTTACAAAGCCCATCCCAAACACTACCTACACAATCAAGTACAGAACAAAGTTACAGTGTGGTAAGAGGCTACTGATCTTAAGTTAAATGTCTTTGTCAGACGCTGGTTATATAAATCAATCAAGAAATGACTGTGAATCCTTAAATTAACTGTTAACCGTCTGTCAAAGATGTCTACAATTTAAGTTTTCATGATCAGAAAGGCTCAGCCACTTGGTTTGATTTAAAATGCTTTAAAATGTATTCAAATGTTACATTAAATTGAAGAGACAGGTCTGCTTTGCCTTCTGCTACCATATGGTTATATGCCAACCTTTTTGTTTGCATTTTTTAAAATAATTTTTGTAGTCTATTTCATTGAAATTTATTAACACTGATAAAAAAAAATGCTTAGCTGAAAAGTGCCTTTAACATTGTTGTAAGTTAATTCATGGAATATATTGTAATATATTGTATTGTAAATTATTAGGATCAGGAATCAGTACTTCAAAGCAATACATCAACACACGCCAGTTCCACCTACCAGTCAAGTATGGCATCTGACCAGTACGGAGCCACAGACCACTATGCCACAGGTGGAGACCAATTCCCCTCAGCCACGGACCAGTACAGCCAGTCGGCAGACCAGTATGCCAGCTCAAGACTAGGCACATCTACAGATTACACGCAAAATTTGGGTAGCTCTTCGCAATATTCAAGTAGGTTTTAATAAACTTTGATTATTTGTTTATCCAAGATATTGTGGTTTAGGTTATGGTTGACCTTTGACTTGCACCGGCATGTACAAATGGTTCTGTACTCTGTCTACAATAACAGGTTGAGCTTGGCAGTTCTGTCCAAATTTTTTTTTGACAAAAAACTGTTGTATACCCATATATAGTCATGGTGTGGCTATATATGGTCATGATGTGATGTCATCATGACCATATTTAGGCATGTCACATGTTTTTGTCAAATAAAATTTGATAGTCTGGACAGGGTCTTACGTTTAGAGTTACTAACCAGGAATATTTGGGTCCAGCAACTGATCACGGCTCAAGCCTACAACTTTCTAATTGTATCCAGTCCCAACTGGTGGGAACCGATGTTTCAATGCTGTATTGTATTGTAAATATTAGTTATCCTAAATCATCAAATCACAGAACCAAGTGTTAAAAACAATCTTAAATCTTGTTTTTTTTTTGTTTTTTTTTTGGCTCGTTTACTTCAGACCAGGTCGCAGATTCAGCTTTTCAACAAGAACCAATGGCACAGCAAGGCCAGTTGTCCAGTGGGCCTATATCCATACCCGAACCCCAGACTATTGCTCTTCCCACTGATTCCTCACAAGTTGCTGCGCAGGTAACGACGCAGTCCAATGTCGTCATCCCAAAGTCAACAATGAACGCAAGCGCGCCACCGTTCCAATCAAGCATGGCGTACCAAATGCAGTCTTCACCTCCAATTGCTCCTGTCGTCTCAACTACTCAAGGACAGGATGCATTCCAGAATATGGGATCAACGCAAATGACTGGAACAGACTCTTATGGATCAACTAACAGAAATCCAGATCCCTCATCAGTAAATTCAGACGTTTCAGGTACAGAGCAGTTTACGTCGCCATAATTTATGTAGAGTTGAAGACGGTGATGCTCACCTTCCATTACCATGATCTGAGGTTAAATAATTTAGGATTTGGTTTCTCAGATAGCTCAAGTGCGCTAAAACTCATAATGTTAAGAGCATTACTGTTTTGTCCTGCTCATGCTGCTGATATGGAGAGTTGGAATACAATGATGCTGACCCATGTATGTGCTCAGCCTGTTTTTTATTTAAGAGGGAAAAATATTTTCTTCTTTCATTTCATTTTATGACAAACATAATATCTATACTGAAAATTGAAATGATTGTGTAACTATATTTCTTTTAATTTTCAACAGGTTCAGGTTATCAGCAACAATACCAGCAGCAAGGCAGCTATCGTAATAACAACCGTGGAAACCGAGGCAACCGTGGCGGTGTACAAAATACTGGTTACCGCAGTAACCGAGGAGGAGGACAGCAATACAGCAGGGGTAATGGTGGATACAGTAACAGTCCTCAAAATAAGAGGGGTGAGGCAGACGGTGTTTTTGTACCATATTCTCTACCAAGTGAAGCAGCTTTGTCAGGCCCTATAACCCCAATAATTTGATTGAAATTTTAATTTAAAAAAAATATATCTTGTATTACCAACTGCATTTGTCTTAATCATATTTAATTTGGACGCCCACTTAAAAACTTTCTGACCCAATGCAAAGCATATAACGTCTGTGAATTTGGCTCTTTAATTTTAGGCACACATTCACTAATAGATATTTCTAATACAATTCTCATTTACTTGGTGATGGGAATTCGTCTGCTTTTCTCGCTGGTACCTGAGGCATTACATTTATCTGTTGTTTACCGTAAATGCTTGAATAAGCGCCACTCTCAAATAAGAAACGCTCTCGAATAAACGCTGCACCAAACTTTTTTTTAGCTAAGCAGTGCTTTTGAATAAGTGCCGAGCGCTAAATAGAGGGTAAACAGGGGCGGATCCAGAAATGTCCAAAAGGGGGGGGGCCGAAAGTTGGGCCGATTGAGACAACACTGTCGTAGGGGGTTCCGGGGCATGGCCCCGCGAAATTTTTGTGTTCTAGACGCCCGAACATAACATTTGAGGCATTCTGGGCTATCATTTTTTTCTTTTTCTCTCTTTTTTTCTTTTTTTTACCTCCCAAAAAAGGGGGGGGGGTGGCCGGGGCCGGGCTGCCCCCCCCCCTAAATCCGCCCCTGGTAAATATTACCTTGTGTGTAATGAAACGCAGTGAGAAACAGGGTTTTAAATACAATGTATACAGTGTTAAAATAAATAAATGAAGACATAAGCATTTCTTTATAAACATTTGTATGCGATGATGTAGAACTTATGATAGGCGTACCAAACTACTGGAATATGTGAGATAGGTAACATGGGAACAGGCATGGAAAGTACCACGCCAATATTTTTTTATAAGTGCCGCTCTCGAAATAAGCGCTTCACTGAAGCCTTCAAAAAAAATTTTAAGCGCTGCGGTGCTTACTTGAGCATTTACGGTAGTTGGATAAACCAAAGTTTGGTGCATGTAGCTGTGATCCATGTCTGTCTAACATTATGTGTAGAAAAGTGGTTCTCAAAGTTTCTCGATGTATCCCTATGCAGAAGTTTAATTGATTCAATCATTCATATCCTTGGCTACCCGTCAGATGTCCTAACTGGTATAAGCTAATTTTGATAAATCCACTTCACACAATTCTTGAATAGATTTTCTGGTACATTATTTTATACAATTTATTCTGCTGTTTAGAAACATTTGTTTACCACAAAAGGAGTTCTTGGCAAAAAAAATACACCTCAAAAGAATTTTCCTATCCTTCAAGGGTACATGCACACCCCACTATGAGAACCACTGTATTGTATATGTGCTACTCGTTAACTATACTAAATATGTCTGTGTTGCGTGTATTAGAATTTATGTTGCCAACTCATTTGCTAAATGAAAGTCAACTGTTGTGACAACTTTACCTGGATAAAAGACTCCATCATTCAAAAGAACACACCTGCAAAGTTAAGGCAGTGTTCTCCCCAGGCTCTTGAAGCGTCACGGTACAGTGACGCTTGGGACTTCATCACGGTGCACCGTGATGCTCCCAAGCTGACGTGACGCTTGATGCGTCTTCCGTGATGCTTTAAAATATCGTCAATAAAATAATTTGAAATAAAAAATGCTGTCCATGTATCCTAGCTTGAAGAAGAGTGAGTGTGAAAATATTTTTAAACGCAGAACAATGCTATCTTACGATGTTGGTTTATCAGCCCAAGTTCATGCTTGATCTTTTTGCGTTCATTTTTGCATTATCTTTACCTTGAGAAATGACACTTTCATTTAAAAACACGATCGTTAGCTTGATTCACACAAACTGTTCGCTTCAAAACTGCCCATGCATGTCCATGCGTATGCCCAGAACGATCTATCTGGATTTTCCTCTCACCACATGTACTTCTCTTGACAGCGATCGTGTTTGTGTTTAAACAATTAGGCCTAGGCAATAGGCCCTATGTTGAATTTGGTTGTTTTTTTATAATAAACGTTTTTAATATGATAATACTATTTTACAATGAAGACAAGTAAGTTTAGATAAGTGTCAATCTAGGCAGCCTACGTGGCCGATGTTTTGTTTAGCTATCTAGCTAGGCCTAACCTAGGCCAAGCAGTTTGAAGCTAAAATTTAGGCCTAGGCCTAATCTAGGTTGGTCCAAAATTGCCATCCTGTGGCAATTCTGGCTAGGCTATAGTAGTAGTACAGTATATGGTCACTAATTTTACAAAAAAAAATTGTTAAATAATGGAAATTTATAGAAATTTCAAAAATCTTAAAAAACATTTTTGATGTCTGAGAGTGCCATTTCCGGAAATCTAGGTCATTATTTAAAAAAATTTTCCCTAATCATGTTGAGGGAGAGGGGAGGGAGGGGCAGGTACCATGATGCTTAACCCTCATCCTGGGGAGAACACTGTTAATGGAACTATCTATTTATTTTTATTTGTATCCTTATTTTTTTATTGCCAAAACATATACATCTAGATAGGGAGGCATGATCTCTAAAGCACTGTGGTGTATGACTGTCATACAATGAATGCATTCCTCAGCTCTGAGTAAGCGTTTGATGATGAACACCCTCAACCAAGTTTTGGTGGTGGACATGGCGGGTCATTAAAACGATCCATTTGTTGTTGCATTGTGTCCTCCGTGAAATCGTGTCGGCCGACACTCAGTGCTGCATGTGCCCGGCTAAAAAAGCGTACTATTAATAATTTTTTTTGTATGTTGTTGAACTTAAATGTGAGTTTTTATTTATGATGATATTTTGTTTGTATCTTTTGAACTTTAATTGAATTTCATGAATATAATAATGTTGAATTTTCTTATATTATTTCTTCTTTAGGATTTAACCAACAAAACTATATGCAGCGAAACACTTATCCGCCTCGTGGATCAGACGTAGCGTACAACACAGGCAATGGCGGTGGCAACAGTATGCACACGTCCAGTACCTTCCAAAACTCATACAGATCAGCAATGCCGGATAATGGCTACCAGTCATATGACCGACGTACAAACATGCCACGTGGTAACCCAAGGGGAGGTGAGTAAAAACTACAGCTTTCTGTAAATTCACTTATGTATTATGCAGTTGGTCATAGTCTGTGTTTGCATTGGATTAAATTTGACAAAGGCAAGGCGTTGCTTTACCATGGTCAAATCGTATTGCTGTTGGCATTCTATTTATTTAAATGTACTATAGGTTCAACGATAGTAAAATTTTGCATTTATAAGGATTGCCATCCTAAAGCCAGCAACTGTCACTAAATGTTAAACTGTGTAATTAGCATAAGGATTTGACAGTATTGTATAGTACAACAGTGGCGGGTATAGGATTCTGGGGTGGGGGGGAGCGCTAAGCTGTCTAACAGGGGACTTGAGCTCTTAGTCCCGAGTTGGAGGAAGGGTTTGAGAGGGGTTCCCCCACCCGAACAAGATATTTTTAAGAATAGTAACCTCTGGATGGCCGGAAATAGCACTCTCAGACTGTGACAGATGTGTTGGCTTGGTGTGGGCCTATTTTTATATTTTTTAGGGTCTGACTGCCCGACGAGCTCTGCTGACGGGGGGTGGGGGATGGGGGATCTTAAGCTCCCCCGCTGGCGCTGCCACTGTAATACAGAGGAGCTGTAATACTTTTACTCATAATTTTTCGAATTGTAAGTCAATTCTAGTAAATGACCTAGCTTTTTAAAGCTTATAATGAGGAGAATATGAAAATATTAAAAAGTAAATGTTTTTGCCACTGATGTTGGTTTTGGCATGGCAAGCCTCATATGGGTCATTGCTTGATATATGATCGTAGATCACTGCTCTCTTTGTAGTTTTGCTGGATAGCTGAATACAAGTAATTATACAACCTATAATTACTTGCATTCAGCTATCCAGCTGAATGCAAGTAATATAGCAACCTATGTTTCAGAAGAGAAAAGTTTAAAGGTGTTTAATGCAAAAGAGTAAAGGAAGCAAATTAACCAGTGACTTCCATTCACTTGATAATGAAATAAAATAAATAGCAGCTCCGATTTCTGACTTTAATATGGAGATTTCTACATCACTATTTTTCTTGGGATGCAAGGTGTCTTTAAGCACTGAACAGAATTTTAGAAAAGTATGGGAACCTAAAATCACATATCAGTTGTCTATTAACTGAATGTTAATAACACCACCAATTTCTGACTAATATAGAGATTTATATATCACCATTTTTTGGGATGCAAGGTGTTTTTAAGCACTTAACAGATTTTAAGAAAGTATATGAACTCAGACTTGTATCTGAATGTTAACTTGGCTTCTTGGGTTCTACTAAAATGTAAGGCTTGTTGCCCTAATCAAGTTGTTGCTCCATACGACTAAAATAAATAAATAAATATTTTTGGAAAAGGATAATATTTTTTAAAAAACTTGTTTGAATTTAATCAATATTGTTTTCAATTCTTTTAAGGGCGTGGTCAAGGTCCTCGTCCTGGATATAACAACCGTGGAAGAGGTGGGTTCAACAAGACCCAACAATTAACCGCATAAATACAATAAAAGACCAGGTCATGTACAACCACACTATGAGTAGTAAGGCCTTGCAACTCAGACCATGGATAGTGTGACAACTCTCAGTAGCATATTCACCTTAGCCATCTTTTAACCAAACACAACCGAGCCATGATAACTAATTCTAGCGTTACTGCTGTAGGTGAAACAGCTTTAACAGACTGCCACGCTACAACAACCATTGAAAACTCGTTTAAATAGTATTTTGTTGTGTTTTTCACCACATTCAATTATCCAGATTCTTCATGGATCTTATCGAATCAGTGTATGTAAATTTAGATAAATTCCTCACAACTGCCAATGTAATACACTCAAAAGATGTGCTCTAACTTAGCTATATGTAGAAAATATTTGCAGATAAGACTAAACAATCACCTCAGTGTTAATTAGAGATATGGATGTTGTTTTTTTATTAATTTTTTTTGTATAATATTGATGCTATAAAGGGATTTTCATTTGTATTAATAAATAACTGACTAAATGTAATATTTTGTAGATTGCCTGTTTGAAATTTTTGTATGCATGGTTAATAATCGCCCTTAATTTTGTTGAGAAAAATTTGTTTACGTTATTTTCTATTATAAGACCTTGCTAAAGGTAGAACTGTAATTTTATAATCAATCTCATTTCAATCAGTTACCAAACGAAGTGCCATCTATTTACTTATAATCCAATTTCATGTTATATGACTGTATGCAAGTTTTCATATACTGTAATATGGCATTGACATTCTGCTTGCTTCATATATGTACTGAAATTCTACCTTCCATTTTCTTTCATATATGGAGCTGAACGAAAAGTCAGATTACACTTACGTACTGTACAGTATATCTGTTTAGATGTTATTCATGTCTGTTTACATTATATGTTATACTATGTGTATTTATAAGACTTTACATATCAGGCCAGTTACACAATGTAAAAATAATTCTGTTCAAGTCCTTTCACATATGCAAGTCCACTTACATATATGTGTTTTTTGAAGGTGCTGTTAGTGTGAACTGCATTTTATAAGCTACCTTTGCAAGTCCAGACCCTGTAATGTTTACTGTCAGTTACAACTAATTTTTTGTTCAGGATGCAAAGGTGGCATTTTTACACTCTGTAAGAAGAAAATTGTTCAAAATGGATAGCAAAGTTAACAATACAGTTTTGTATATCTGCCTTAAATAACACTACATTTTGCCTAGTAACGAGGTGGTGTCATGTGATGGTATGGTATGATGTCACCAATTTAGTACCAGTAATGTTTTACTTTACAAGGCAAGACATCTAGATAATACTGTGAGACATCAATATACAGTACAACTATTTTTTGGCAGCTGTGGCCATCTGTGAAAAAGGATAAAAGAAGACATGTTTTCCTAAATGATTATAGAAGAAACATGTTTTTTTAAACTAACAGCGTAATTTCTCTTGTCATTATTTTGCTATATCAAATCTTACTTTGAGTTGGATTGTTGTGGCCTATTCTTTGTTGGCATGTTGCCTCGCTGTACACTTAGTAGCCGTTCCTCTCTATGTTAAGCTATATTATAGTGTTTGTAGGTAAACAGATGAGTGAAGAGCAGTAACACCAAGAAGTATAGTCATTTTTATTTCTTTGTACTTAGCATGAATATTGAACCACTACACAGACTGAAATTGGAACTCCTATTGAGATAATGTATCACCAATATTACAGTATACATATTTTATTTGATTAGTATCACATTGTATTCATGCCTTGGAAATATTTTTTCTTCTAAAGTTTTGTCAACAAATTGTATTATCATTGTAATTTTTTTTTAAATATTACTAGCTATGATGTTAACTTATTAATTTTGCTTTTTTCCCGTAAGACAATGAGTATATAATTCTTCAGTGAAGAAAAACTGGCGTTTGTTTTAACTTCAATCATTCCTTTCAACTGAGAGCTATTTTGTTTGTTTTTTTTGTTTTGCATTTGCTTTCTATTCGATTAAATTCTCAACTCGGTACATTAATCCTATGCTGGTTTGTATTGTTTAATGAAAGAATAAAACAGCGAGTCCTGGGACACATTCGTATTTAAAGATTAAAGTGTTTTTATGCGTGGAATGTCTGCTTTTACAAGTTACTTTCTAAAACTGCAGTGGTTTTTTCCTGGATGTCGAACTTAACAACTGACCGATCAGGAGAGGGCCAGGGATACGGTACACGCTTTTCCCCACAGACACGTCGTGTCCCACACGCATATGTGTTATATGTAGGTTAACATCATTTGTAGGACCTTGGCAATATCCAATGGCGGGGCATTGTATACTTATTTAATCATTGAAATTATGCAGGTCATCAGCGTGTTAAAGATGTGTTGTCCTATGCAAAATACCAAAAAAATCATAAAAATAATTTTTTGAAATTAACTTGCCCATTTTGAAGTAACATAAATATTACCAATTGTGTATTGTGTTGATCTAGTTTTTTTCATAGATCATTTGATTGACTGAAAGAATTTTTATTCAAAAAAAAAAAAATTTTTTTAAACCTTTCAAAAACATGAATTGCTTTGCGATGTCAGCATATCATCATTAATCAGTTTATATGAGCAATTCAGTGTTTTAATATCATTTGTTTCAGGATTTGTTCAGGTTTCACCACAAACATTAGGCATAATATACAATAACTTGAACCTTGGCCCCTTTACTAAAGTCTGTTAGAATCTTTGTTGTGGATGTGCAAAATTTAACGCACATTTATAGGCCTAGGCCTAATAGATGCTAAAATATAACTATGTATTTTAAAGATAATTCAACTATTTTTTCGATACATTTATCGTTTGAACTTGATGAGGTCCGTGGCCTTTAGTGTTGTCAAGCCAAGGTATATTAAAAAATTAAATTCTTAACGTCACCCGTGGGCCCTATTTCTGATGCGTTTATCCACTGGTTTCAGCGTTAGAGACCAGGCCTCCTTACATTATATGGGGCCGTTGATCTATAAATGACTTTTGTAAAGTATCTAAAATGACCTTAAAAGAATAATTATCGCTGTAAGTATAATAAGGCCTATAAGCTGTTGTAGAAGATTAAAACTGGAATGTATTCCGTATAGCGCCCTCTAAGTAAACCATTAGTTTCAGTTTGATATGAGCTGTAACGTACGCGCGCTGGATCATACTTTTTGTGGTTTTAGTGGTCAAAAAGATTTCACCAATTAGTCGTATCAATTTTCTCACCTAAGTAAACGTTGCTAATGTAAATACAACTGCGGTTTCGAAGTCGCTTGTCAGCTGAAAAGCAAGTGAACTGCTCTTAGGCCTAACTCCGCGTTGTATTTATTATTCATTCTTTCAAATTTATCACAGATTCTCTTTCTTCCATCGTAATTTGCGTTACTTAATTTCTTGACTATATTCAGACGCCATTCACATCAGCGGCACTCAGGAGGTGCGTCAATCATAACAAATAACTTAAAAGAAAACAACTTAACTAGAAAAATACATTAAGAAGCACCTTAAAACTGTTTCCATAATATATTACTAAAGTACTATACTAAACACTATATACCACCATAAATATTTATAATGATAATAGGCTGGCAACTTCCTCTTGTTTTAAGTATGTTGTAAAAAGTATAAGTATGTAAAAAATCGATGAGCAAACAACGTGTACAAACTTCAATACAATCACGACACTATAATATCATATGATGATGTTATGTCTTTTACCAGTCTGAAGGTGGTGGGTGGGTGAATGAAGGTAAGTAGTGGAGGTTTTTTTGGTCGTGGGGAGTGTCGTACTATGATTAGCGTGTGTCACTTTAAAGGGAACAAACAGCAGAAAACATGCATTATTTCATGATTCATGCATTCATTCATCAAGTATGGACGTCAATTTACATCAATCACAGATACGTAAGTACCGTTTCAAGTTCAAGAACACGCTTCACGACTTTAATTGTACAGTATATCATTAAATGCCAACAGATTAGCACTCGAGCGGGAAATGTAGGTTTTAATGTCACTTGCATGTGGATCGTGATTGTCGAGTTGCGCAGATCATTGACACGGCGCGTCTACTATCTGCGACGAATGACAGCCAATCGAAACAAACAGTTTTCTGGGTGTTAAGATTAAAATTATGCATTGCACCAAAAGGGACAATATTTGTGACTGTGTGTGGCAATTCAACATAGTCCCTCGGATTAAACTGTAGCAAATATTATGAACTGATGTCTCTGGGGTGTGTTCTTTAAGTTTGTGCTAAGTCTCAAGGCGTGGGAATTTCTACAAAATGAATCGTTATGTAAAGACATAGCGTTTTTTGTTGAGCTAAATCACACCCCTTTAAAATTCTACTACTGTATTATGTTTTCAATCTTTCAATTTGTTAAATGGTAGGCATATATTTAACTTGTTAACAATTAGAATTTAAAAAAAAATTGTAGTAAAAAATTTTAAATCAGTGATAATTTCTAACTAATGATTGTTTTTATCTCTGGTAGGTTAATAACTCTTTAAAATAGTTATTATATATTTTAGAGTTCGAGATGTTTTTCCTCTAGATTTAACCACCGATGGTATATCATATTTAAACACATTTTTAATTTTTCAGTTTGTTTGTTTGCGGTATTCCCCGGGAATTTTAGCATTATTAGGTTAAATTTTATGTTAAATTTCGCTTCATGCCTGGGTGCACTCGGCACAACTTCACCGTTTTGTATGTTTTGTGCTACTGTTGCAATAAATCTAAATTTGCGTTTCTCAGTTTCCAGATTTTACAGGACAAACATAGGTAGGAGAAGGGTGAATAATCGTAGGTCATGTATGCAATTTATATTACGACAGGGAGACAATGTAACTGCTGAGGTACTTCTTATGGATTGTGATTGTTTTTACTTCAATTTTTAGCAACTAGTAGAGGAATTCCAGCGACGTTGTCACTGGAATTTATAGAGCAACGCCTCCTTGCCAATGATTGGCTGCAGCTCAGCGCGCTATTTAGATTACCAAGGCCTTTCTCAAACACGACAGAAAGAATCATCACAAGGGCTGACTCGCCGTGAGGATAATAGAGTTGGGGTAGAATAACTATTTTCGCTCATGCTAATTGTCAGTGAACCTGAATTTAGCTACAGCTGTGTCGGTCGCTTGGAAAATACATGTCGGAATCATTTTATATATCTCTGCTAACTTTTTATCTGGAGTTTTAAAATTTCATGTCTTTAAAAGACGGATTTCAAGTTAGATAGAATAGGCCTACTTTTTTATTTGACGTACTTAGGAGGAGTTTTGGTGGCAGTCGCTTGAGAACTGGTTGTGCCCGGTGTTAGTAGAGGTGGGATAATGGCAGTGGGAGATTCCATGCCATGGATTTCAATCGTTATTTTAGGAATAACATTCAGCTGTTCCTGCTCCACAGTAGCGGAATATTATCCTGGTAAGTCACTTAATCATTAATTACTCACCCCAAGATTTTCAAACAATCGTAGCTAACTTTATTTTCAGGAATTTCTGACGCACACTTTATTAGTTTCATGTTCACCTGGTAATTGGACGTTCGGCCTGTAACTAATTTGGGGACGTTACATGATTTCTTAAATTAAAGGATGTTTTCTCAGTTTATGCTTATGTGATAACATTTTTTTTTCTCAGGTCTTCCGATAGAAATTATATTCCGCTCAGTAAAGTTGGATCCATTCATGGACCTATTTAAGATGATAAAAAAGTAAAAGTGAGCCCCCCAGGCTCCTCTCTAGCTCGAAGAAGAATGAACATTGTTATGCAATCAACACATGCAATGCATTTTAAGTGCAATGTTTGTTATGCTTGAAAGAAAACACTTAAGAAGATAATGTAAATTGAGTTAGTTTTGCCAAACAGGTAGTACATGGATCAGTGAATGGAATGGATTGACAACTGGTTTACATGAAGATTTAACTGTTGATCTGTCCCGACCGCATTGTCCGGTACATTGTTTTTAATGCCAATCTTTCAAGTTGATATAAGAAGCTTACTTAATTGTTTCAATTTGCTCACAAAATACTTAAGAGAGGAATGTCTTCAGATGTTTTTGTTTCCTTGTATATACAACAATATTATATTTTAATTCTGAATGTGATACAATTTCTGAGATATATCTATATTAAACCATGGACGTAATAATACGATTACATGTGTGCTAGATTCATGTGTGCTAAAAATTAATAGGTCCATGATTAGACCCTATAGAATTATCACCTAAATAACCCACTTGAAAAAAATCATGAGTAAGGGAAGCTTTGAGCTAATTAACATCTGAATCAATCCCAAACTTGTTTTTTTTTTTACTATTTTTTCTTCTGTCAAATGGATAGACAACAATGAACAAAACTCAGGGGCTCGGTGATTAAGGGGTGATAATCTTAATTGTAATAAATTGTATTTTAAATTTAAATATTTGCAGCTTGATTCTTTTACTATATAATAAATTCATGTGTGCTGGATACACATGTGCTGAATTCATGATGTATAGTAAATCGTGCTGATACGTGTGATGGATGATTCATGGATAAATACCATGTACTGCAGGAGATGCATGTGTGCTGCATTCATGCAATAAATCCCTGCGTTACATGCACATGTGCTGAATTCATGGAATATCATTAAATTAAATCAATGAATGTTGTATGCACATTTGCTGAATTCATGAAATAATATTAAATTAAATAAATCAATGAATGTTGTATGCACATGAATTCATGAATTAATATTAAATAAATCAATGTGTGCTAGGTGCACACATGCAATATGCATATGTATATATATATATATATATATAATAAAAGGATGTGTGCTAGATGCACATGTGTTAGAATATGATGTAAAATTATACATAAGTGCTACATACATGTATGCTAGATACACGAGTGCTACATGTGTGCTAAAAATTAACGTGTGCAAGATTCACCATACAGGTATGTGCTGAATTAATGTACTGTATAGTCATGTGGGTTGAATCCTAGATACTAAATGTGTGTGTGATGTTAGCTAATGTCTCTGATCCAAAGTATTTAAAATCTAAATTAAGGCCTCCCATTACAGTATACTAGGTAATTGCCTATAATAATATTCGAATATCACTATATATATTTTTATTAGTCTAGCTTAATTTTTTATTAGATCTACTTGGGAAAAATTAAATATATACATTTGTTGTATAATTTACCTAAAAGAATGTAAAGTATTGTATAAAGATATAACTTATTTGTCATAAGTAATACAAAAAAAAAATCCTTTCCGAGTTATTAATTCTATAAGCCTCTTCAAGCTTAAGATTTAGGCGATAATGATTATCGCATAATAAATGCGTGCCCTGAATTCCCACTCACCTTGTTTAGCAATCAGAGAACGTCCCATATCGTAAAAGTTCACATTAGTTAGAATGCATTCTGGGTGGTTGACTGACTTGTACCTCAGCCTTTAGTTGACATTTATGTTACCCCGTATGATGACATGATCTACACTGGGTGACATTTCTAATCAATGTTTATGTTCACATAATTGTTAATGAGCTCATGAAAATAAAAAAAAAATGATGATGATTGCTACTTGGAGACTAAAAACAACCTGCCACCTCTAGAGAAAGTATTATTCCAGGTGCTAAGATTCAAACTGTTGGAACTTTGCTATTTTAATCAACCATTCCCACTCCTCCTAATTATGTTACAAATACCTATTAGTGTGACCTTGAAAATGTAAAATAACTTTGAAGAAAAAATGCTAGTTCAATATTTGAGTGATTATACTTTATATACATTTTAATCCTATCTTTTTTTAACGTATATATTAATTGTATATATTTCAATGATCTGAATTTGTCAAACTACTATACAGTATTTTTAATAATACAGCAGACATTATTGCTAATATTTTATAGTGTATATTAAATCTGTTCCAAAAACAGTATTAAATCAGGTAAGCCTAACTTACTATATAACAAAAAAAACAAAATGAGCAAGAGTATAAGGTAATTCATTCTAATAATCACTTAAAGATTGTGTTCCTACATCAAAGTCATCAGTTTCTGCTTTTAAATCAGTGTATCCAATTAGGTGTTTTTACTCTACTATTAAATCACATTTTATTGGGATCGGGAGCAAGAATAAAGGACAATATCACTTCAGGGCTAAAATTTATGAAAACGAACAATAGCTTGTGGCAATGTAATAACTGCATTGGTGGTACACCTTCAGAATAATTCTGACAGAAGTGCTTAAGCTAGGCTTAATCATTCACAACAGTATTATATTTCGTTGGGATAAAGCTTGATCATTTTTCTTTTATTCACTAAGATAATAATGGCTTAAGGGTAGAATGTATTTTGTCAGGTAAAAGTAGTGACCTCAATTGAAAGCCGGCAAAATTTTGGAAGATTGTGCTTTGTTGTTTTGAGTGGTATTACTTTCCCAATTTTCAATCTGTACGATTAAGTATAAAGTTGGGATTAAAATGTTGTTTCAATATTCTTGCGCATCTGAAATATTTAAATCTATTTTCTTTAAAATGATGAATGACATGTTATTTATTTTTTTATTTCAACATTTATTTGGGAAAAAAAAAGTAATTAAAATACATAATTATAAAATATATATATGGGAAAAAAAAATTAATGATTACTGTATATTTTAATAAAATTTTAATAAACATGCAAAAAGCTAAATTTCCTTCTTCAGTCTCTAGACTGAATAGCACTTTTAGTGCCGAATTTTAAAAATGGTTCGGTATAATGCTAAGTGTATATCCCAGGGAGCTCACTTGCTCGACCAAGTGGGGGGATTGGGGGAGGGGGGCTGCTGCAGCCACTTCAAGACATGAGACACTTGCGCTACCTATTTTACTGAAAATTCTTATGGACTTGAACTACCATTTACCAAAATCGCACTGTGCTTTAAAGACGACAGGAAAAAGGCCACTTAGTATTGCCAGAAAGGTGCAATATTGACTGTTTCCCGATGGCAAAAAGTGTTCGGTCCGGTCGTGATCTCGTGGCTGTACCAAAGTTAGGCTTAGCTTGCAATTCCTGCTAACATCGTGCGGAAAATCGTTGCACTTTGACACAGGAGAGGCCAGGGACTTAAGTACCAATTATACCCCATAAATGCTGCAAATCCCCCCATATTTCCCACATTTGTGCTACTAAGTTCTCGAAAATATACCACGTAAATGCGGCACTTCCGTGTATACAAATATTTTAGAGTGAGATCCCGCGGGTGTATATATTCTCAAAAGAGGAAATTATTAAAACACTAATAAAGATATAGTAAAAGGTAGCAGAAATGTATGTATCACATTGGATGTACGTATCACATTGGATGTACTGTATTAAAGATAATTAAATATTATACTTAAAACATCATTGTTATTCTTTTAACAATTTCAGCTACTAAAATTAAAGATTTTCAGATTGATTTGTTGTACTGTAAGCCTACTGGGAACACTGGATGTGATGTACACAAAAGTAGAAATTATTAAAATTACCAAATGTAATTGCTGTCCTTTCAGCAACTAAAAAGGATTTTCAACACTGTACAGGAAAAAATTTTTTAAAATAATTAAACAGCAATAAAATAAATGGAAGGCATGTCTATAAGGTTTTTTTGATTTGAAATCATCTACTGTAAAGAGCATTTTGGTGACAAATGATGATGATATTTGTTTCCTTGTTAATTATGTGCACTTTTTAATTATTTATTCCTGAATTAGATTTCATACTGATAGAATCCAAATATATGTTTTTAATGACATGTCTTTGTGTGCTGAGATATCTACCTTGGCTAGGTTATTAACCTTTCTGCTAGGGGCAGCATTTTGTTTCTCATTTTGATGACAAATTAGAAGCACCATCTGTTCTTGTATTTGCATTAGATGTAGATATTGTTATGAAACACTTCTGCTGATTTTCAATAGACCTACTATAATAATGAAATCACTATGTTTTGTTTCCTGTGATATAATAATTACCATAATTAGAACGAAAGTATATATTGACAATGTTAGTCCAAGGTTTTAACATTTTTTCCTGATTTTTAAATATTCAAAAATCTTTCATTATCTGTTCTAAGTTTTTGGTCAAACACTTTTTGTGGCTTAGAAACATCATTGTACAACACATCAAAAATTGTATTTCCTCTGGAGCTTGTGTTTAAAGATAACGGAGCTTCAGAATTACTATAATAAGACTGGCTTAATTTTATGCTAACTATCGCCGATCGGTAAGGTACACTTTCATCTACCTATAAAATAACAATAAAATTGATTAGTTGTTAATATATTATTTCCAATATAACATGGTGTTTGATAGGTTGAAAGTCAATTAATGGTTATGTGACTTTAATGAAGTCTTCCATCCCATATATTGCTTCTGTTCAGTGTGCATTCTCCTGAAGATTACTACTACCATGGAGTAAATACTGTAGTAAACTATTTCCTCCATTGTACTACTGTACAGTTAGTTAAATTCCAACTGTGTGAAGTTATATTTAGATGAGAACATAATCTGAAGGTCATGCTAGGATACTGTAACTACATTATGACATAGTTATCAAACACTTATGCTCTACAAATTTTTTATTAGCATATTAGTCATTTTTAAAATTCTAAAATCATTGTTTCACCTGATATTATTTGTTTATATTCATTATTTTAATGTAAACAATGAATTTTAATTAATTGCCTTGATAATTTTAAGAGATGTTTTTAATAAGTAGATCTTAAGTGACATGTTTTAAATTTCATTATCAAATGTTTAAAAGAAGTTATTGAATAGGCCTACTGAACATGAATGCTATTAATGGCTCAAAAGTACACTACATTCTACTATTACTATCTAGGCCCATACTTACACCATACTGTACACTTCCAAGCAGCACTACAATACAGAACATATTTCAACTGTTGATACATGTTTGAAAAAGTATCATATTGACACAAGGACCACCTTGAAAGTAAAGCCTGCTAGATTGTCTAAATTATAATGGTCAATGAAGAGGTTACACTAAAGAAAAACCGCAAGAGGGACTCTTATAGCTTACTATATCATGAATGCTATTCAAATGTCATGTACATCTCCAGAGAACCTCTGCATGTTTAATATTCAGAGATCAAGGTCAAGGTTAGAATGTTAATC